CATCTACCTGCCTGCCTCCTTCTCTCCCTCTCCCTCTCCCTCTCCCTCTCCCTCTCCCTCTCTCTTAGTTGGAGGCCACAGGAGTGAGAGTGGAAAGTTAATTTCACCAAGGGCCCAATCTGCTAGATGCTGAGACAGAGATAAGTCCCCAAATGGAAGGACATTTTTGGCCTCAACGTCCATAGGAGGAGACCCCTGGAAGTGTTTCAGGAGGGTTGGACCTTGCATTGTGGGACTCGGGGTTTTGAGGACATGTGCTCACATGATGTGCTGTTGCGCTCCCCACACTGTCATCCCAGCCTGCACATTCTTTGGACCGTCCCACATGCCTCTTATAACTTTTTTTTTGGTGCTTCTGCAAACTTTTGGGATGTACATGAAATCCCCATCTATGCATGGATGGTGTTATTTAGGCTATCATTTATCCGCACCCAGATAACGGTCCTGCCATTTGTACATCAGCCAATTGTGATAACTGCTCCACAGTATTTTAGCCTCGTGTTGTGCATTTGCGTTTGTTTACCTTCCTCCCACGCTTCCTCTAAGGAGTACAGATGGACATACAGTGGTACCTTGGCCCACGAACTTAATCCGCTCCAGAATTCTGGTTGTGGCCCAAACTGGTCGTGATCCAAGTCAAATTTCTCCATAAGGTTCAATGTAAATAAGGTTAATCCATTCTGCAAATATTTTTTTAATCACAAATATTTGAAACAAAGGAACAAAGGACAGCACAGTAGAGAACACTAACCTAGGTAGGGGGCAGGTTATTGTTGGAGGGAGAGTCCAAACCATAATCGTGCGACAGTGATCGTGCTGGGAGGGCGGGGGGGGGGGGAGACGCAGGGCAATCATGGTCTTCACCCAATGCAGAGTTCATGAACTGAGGCAAAATGTCTCTGAAATTTCTGTTCACGACCCGATTTGGTCATGAACTGAGGCATTCGTGAGCCAAGGTACCACTGTATATGGATCTCCTACAGCTTTTCCTCCACTTTATCATCACAAGGACCCTGCGAGGTAGGTCAGGCTGAGAAATGCTCAGCTTTTTGGCTGAGCCGGGATTTGAACTCAGGCCTTGCCGATCCAAACCTCTCTCCATTTCACCAATCTGACCCAAATGACTTCGCATCGGGAGGAACGGACACTGCATTCTTCAGAAGACCCAGGCAGTAAAGTGCCTGACCGGGGCAGCTTAGCAAGTCACAGCAAGACCTTCCCTGTCATCCTTTCTGGCTGAGGGGCTCGACCTGGTACTTCTGTGCATCACTTCTGGAGCCCCTGGCAGGGTTTCAGAAACAAATGTAGGAACCCAAGAAAAAGAATTGTTGGTCGCTGTCTGCTGGGTAAAACTTCAGGGCATTCCAGGCCAAACCAGACAATCACTGCACTTAATGTTTTTCAAACCTGCAATCTTCACTTGGGGAAGTGGAGCAGAGCAGAGACCGGGGGTGGGGGGCATGGGGGGCAATTTATCCTTTTTCTCACCTGCTTCTGTCCTGAGAAAATAACACCTGCAGCAGGTATCTGCTGGGGGAAAGGGAAGAGAATCCCCTCTCTGGCACCAGTGCGAGGCTTAGGCACACGCCTGCCTGCCGACACAGACAGTGCAAATAGCACCCTCAGAGGAGGGATTTTCAACCAGAGGGGTGCAGGGCAGGAAAGGGCCGCACCACACCGTTCTCTCCACCCAGCCCGGCTGCTGGACTTGGCCTTCCTGTAAGCCACAAGATGCCTTCCGTGCCTCTTCGTCCCGCACTGCCCCTCGACCTGCCCCAACGCCCACAAGGAGCCGCGCCCGCTTCCTGTCCGGCCCCATCTCGCCTTGCCCCTCCTGGGATCAGCCCCCTGGGACGAGCCGCGCTCCTGCCCCGGAGGCAGCAGCCGCGGCCGTTGTCCGGCTGTGCTGCCGTGATGCTCGTGTGCTCTCGCTCCCTGCCGTCCCTGAGCTGACGTGGAAGGCGAGCCTCTCCCTCGGGCAGGAGCCACGCTCGCTCGCAACGCACAGCGGCACCTGCCGCAGCAAGCTCCCCGTGTCGTCGTTAGGCTGCCCGGGGCGGCTGCTTGCCGACCCGCTGGAAGGCCGGAGGCCCACTGACCTGTGAGCGAGCTGCCACCCTGGCTGAGAGCAGCCGGCTCCCCTGACACGTGGCACGTGGGCCCAGCCGAGTCCCGGGAAGCATGTGGCTGCCGGGCAAGCGGCACATTGCAAAAGAAAGCGAGCAGGGCCGCTGTGGGAGGTGCAGGCAGCTGGGCCCCTTGCTGAAGGGATCCAGGCGGGCTGTGCAAGGGGAAGGCGGCTGTTCGAAGCTTTCTGCACGCAAGAGACACTATTGCTGTTCCGGAGGTGGCCGGCTCGCCCTTCACTTGAGGCGTGGAGCAGAGGCCAGATGGCTGTCCAGCAGTAGTGCCCTGATTTGAGCTTGGGTCAAAGGACCTCGAAGAACCCTCCCAACTCTTAGCCAAGTTTGTGCTCCTTTTAAAGCCGGGTGGCACCCACAGAGATGCTAAAATTGTCCTAAGGACGCAGTTTTGGTGCCCAGTCTTGTCTCTCCCCTCAGCTCCTGGAAACATAGTCAAAGGTTGGAATCAGTGCAGCGAAGGGCCGCTAGGATGGTGGCTGGCTTGCAGGGGAAGCCGTATGAAGAGAGACTGAGGGAGCTGGGTCTCTTCAGCCTTGAGAGGAGGAGACTCAGAGGGGACCTGTTAGCGATGGACGGGTAAGTGAGGGGGTGCCACGCGGATGTGGGACACAACCTTTTTTCCTCTGCAGTGGAGGGCAGGGTGCATTCCAATGGAGCAAGATTTAGGGTGGATGCCAGGAAGTACTTCCTGATGGTTAGGACCCCTAGGGTCTGGAATAGGCTTCCATGGGAGGTGGTTGAAGCCCCATCAGTGAGGGTGTTTAAGGATAGGCTGGACATGCACATGGTAGGCATGTCGTGAGTGGAGCCGGCTGGAGCCAGGGGTCAGACTAGATGGCCCGGCAGACCGCTTCTGACTCACTCTGTGTCTCTGTTTCCAATTGTGTAAAATTCCATAACTGGGGAGTCCGATGATTGATCTAACATCCTGTTTGATGCAGCCCTGCCTGGGATTTTGGCCCTGCTTTTCAAGGGTTCACTGCTTCTCGATGTGGCAAGCACTGTTTTCCTGCACAAAGCGAGTGCTTTTCTTGAACTCATTCATCGGGCATCACGCGTGGTAGTAACACCGTGTGGCTTTTGCGTTGCGGCTCTGCACACATGCGTACCTGGAGTGAGCCCTGCTGAACTTCGCGTGGCTCAGCTATGCATGGACACGTGTCGCGTCGCCCTGTTGGAACACTTGGGAAAGCTCAGTGCACATTTTCAGGGCAATTCAGTGGCCGGTGCATTTGCCGTGTTCAACACAGCCTGCCTTGGATTGCTGATGCTGCTCCACTTCATCACACACACAACACACCCAGAGCCCCTCTGGATCAGGCCAGGGGTCTGCTCTTCTGTTCATCAAGTGGCCAGCTACCAACTTGTAGGATCCCTCAAGCAGAATGTGAGGGCAACAGCACGCTCACACCCATGTTCCCCAGCAACCGGTGCACAAGCCATCCGCTTCCAACAGCATTCTTGCCTAGTCCCCTTTTTCTGTTTTTTAAAGGGGCAAGACATCCTCTCTGCTCCGCGGCCATCCGGGCCCCGGAAGCCACATTCTGTGCTAGATACTTGGTTCTGTGTTGCTCTGCCAGAATTGTGCCCCATGGGAGCTGGCCTTCATTCATCATGAAAGGATTTGAGGAAGCCAAAACTCCCCTCTTGGCTTGAGGACGCATCTTACAGATAGGCTGTCATTCCGGCTGTTTCGTATTTATCCTGTCTTTCGCCAGAACTCTCTCTGCCTTGTTGACAAAGCCCAGGCGGGCCTTCCGGGAACCATGTAGAAGAATGCTGAGCCAAGCATTCTGGGGATGGGAAAAGAGAGGGAAACAGAATTGAAGCTAGCGGGCTAGAGAAATTTAATGAGCAGCTGGTGTCTCCTCTGAAAGGAGGCGGCAGCGAACTGGAGCCAACAACAACTCCTCTGCCAAAGCCATGCGGATCCTTAAAAAGAGCTTTTTTAGGGAAGCTGGTCAGTTGCTCAAAAAACTACAGCAACTAATATTCCTGGTTTGGTAGATTTGAGTTTAAACTGGGGGCAATCATCACAGGAAAGAAAGTGCAGCGTTTGCAGCGATGGAGTGGTACATTCTGACGGAGCTGCTCTTCACTATATTTGCATGGACATGGCTTGATTCACATCAACAGCCCCATCCGAGCCATTTTCATTCTGTGGGCAAATGTGTCTTCCTTGTCTCTTGTCATCCAAGCCACCCCAAAATACTTCACATATCGTTGCCAGGAAAATGTGTTTCCGCCCAGCTCTGGCGAAGTTTGCAGTTCAGTTCCGAGGGAGCAGGGACCTCGGAGGGGAGCTGGTGGCAGGTGACGTCAACGTCCCTGCAAACAGAGACAATCCAGTGGCGCATTCCCTCCCACTCCGACGATGTGCGCCTCCGCCCCCGTGGCCAAGCGCAAGAGTGTGAGGTACAGCTTTGGAACGAGAACCACCTTCTGAAGTGAGCAAGCCAGGGCCCCAGCGCCGCTTGGCTCGGGCTTCAGAATTCCTGCACTCAAACCCCAGAGAAGAAGCGCAACTGAATAGGGAGTGATGACAACTGAATAGGGAGGGGAGACGAGGGCAGGAAGGAAGGGATGCAAGGCAGGCACCTTGCTTTGCAAAGCCCAGAAGCAGCAGCAGCTGCTGCTGTGTGGCCTGCTGGCCCATTTCTGGACGACCTGCCGGTCGCTGGGATTCTCATAAAGCAGGCGGGATTAAGTGGACCTCCCTGAGCACAGAAATCAGGCACAGCTCGACTGCACAGAAAATCTGGCTGGATCTCGGCCTGTGACGTTAAATGGCACTGATTCTAGTTATTGTTGCTCAAGTTGAGCACCCCAAAAAGAAATCAGGCCAGCTCCTGGGCCTGCACCACTTCACTTCAAGGAAGAATGTTTAAAGAAGGGATTCCAGAGAAATCTGCAAGGGACGCACACACAGCTTCCGATTTCTAGGACTATGGCCTGCAAATTCTGCAGGGCCCTTTTTCTGCATATTCTGTGGGCTTGCAGGCTGTTGCTCCCCCCCACCCCCCACATCCACTTTTTTGTCAGCAGGGGGACACAAATTTGCACCTGCCCCTATGCACATGAGCACAAGGGGAGCATTATAGAAAATAGAAAATCTGATTAAATCCATGACCCGATGACAGAACAAAAAGGACCTGAAAATCTGCAAAACATGAAGGAATGGATTCTTCAGCCATTTCTCCTCACCTCAAGAAGCAGTACCCCACCCCCTGCATCTTTCACCCCTAAGGTGATCTGAAGGGGTGCAAGGTCCCTACGTTGCCAACAAAAGGAAAGGAAAGGAAACAGAGACATGTCAGGGTATGCTCTGATTTATGCCATTTTGGGAAGCTCATCTATCCAGTTTCCCAGGAAAACCCTGCCATTTCTCCTTTCCAGGAAGGTCGGTTTGCACGTCCATTCTGTGACAAATGGAAAGGGGGCAACCCAGAAGAATCTACCATGGAGATAGTTCTGATGAGAAGCACAGGCTGCAGGAGGGGGTGGGGAGAAGGGCAGAAGACCGGAGACATATGAGCAAGCTGAAGGACTCCTTCTGCACACACTGTGGCTTTTGTGCTCTGCAACCAGATTGTGTTGGTGTGCAGGTGGATATTTAATTTCATGTCCCATTGTGGGGACTTCTTGGCCAGCCAGTGCAGAGGGATCCTCATCTCACAGGTAATGTTCAGTCACTGCATCCAACAGGGAACTGCTTGCAGTCTTATCAGTGCATGATGGATAATAACAGGATAATAACAGGTGCCAACCAAATCAAGAACCAAACTAGTGGCCGAACAAATCTATCAAAACCAAGGAAACTTTCAGGCGTGTGGCTACCGCATTCAGGAGGGGGCTGTTAGAGCTTGACCTCCGAGCGATAGAGTGGTGGTGGAGCCAGGAACTTCCGTTTGGCCGTGATGATCAAGTTGCCAGTGTTGTTCAGGGAACAGCTGATGGACAGGGGATCCATGTCTTCCGGGAGCTGGCACTTGTGGGTGAAGGTGTTGGAGATGGTGCCGTCTTCAGCCACCTGCAGGACAAGCAAGCTACTGACTTAGACTTTTCTCACAAATGGATCTTGTTATACCGCAAATGCTCCACTGAGTTTGGAGCCAAGGTAAGTTGAGGAGGTCTTCAATGATATCATGAGAACAATGAGGCTCAGATGCTCTGCATGTTCCCCTCAGACCAACATCTTAATCGTTTAGGGAGATAGGAAGGGGGCCTTAAACCGAATTAGTCCAATGCTGCATCCAATTTGCGTCAGGTGTGGGCAAACATCAGGCCGTGTGCTCTCCTGCCTCTCCTACGGCCCTCCACGGTCCAGCAGCTGCAGCCAGGTGGAGCCCAAAGGTGGCTTGGTTCCGTAAGGGAAATGGGTTCCGCAGGATGCATTCAGGGTCAGCCAACTGCTCGCTGTGTTCTGCCAGCCTTATATGCACTGGGGTGGTTCTGATCTGATTTACTGCAGATCTGATTTACTGCAGATCAGGGATCCAAGTCTGATTCGAATGTTCAGAGAAACCTGTTTGTGAAATAAGGTGAGGGCTTGCAAACCCCTCCAGGATATTCCACAGCAAATTACCCAGAGATTGACAGGTAAGAAGGCTTCTGAAGTTAGCCAAAGGGCTGGCCAAAATTAGTCTCGGGCCATGAGCTGCTCATCCCAGACCAACAGTGAGTGATAGCGGCTGACATTGCTGCAGGGGATTGTGGGATCTGTAGTCCTACACACCTGGAGAGTGCCAGGCTGGAGAAGGACCACTTAGAGTTATAGAATAGTAGAGTTGGAAGGGGCCATGAAGGCTATCAAGTCCAACCCCCTGCTGTTGCAGGACACCACGTTACACCTTCCCATTCAGATGGCTGTCCAGTTTCTTTTTGAATGTCTCTGGTGTGGGAGAGCCCACCACCTCTCTAGGCAGCTGGTTCCACTGTCATGTTGCTCTGACAGTGAGGAAGCTTTTCCTGATGCCCAGCCTGAATCTGGGCTGTCACAACCAAAACTGATTATTCCATGTCCTACCCTCTGGCATCAGCAAGAAGAGATCTTGACCTTCCTCTTTGTGACAGCCTTTGAGGTCCTTACAGAGGGAGATCATGTCCCCCCTGAGTCCTCTTCTCAAGGCTGAACATGCCCAGTTCTCTCAGCCTCTCCTCATAGGGCAGTATTTCCAAACCTGGATCATTTTGGTTGCCTCCCACTGGACCCTTTCTATTTTACCTGCATCTTTCTTAAATTTTGGTGCCCAGAACTGGACACAGTACTCCAGGTGAGGTCTTAGAGGAAAGCACCGAGTTAAGACCCATCGAAATAGATGTTGCGCTCCCCACCCCGCTCTCTCCAAGCAACCCAGCTCTGCCTGAGTTCTGATCTCACCTTCTCGGCCTGAATGACAATGCAGTAGTTGTAGCTGGTCACCACGATGTCTTGCGGGTCAAACTGGCTGACATCGGCCATGACCTGGTACTTGTCCCCGCTGGCAATCACGTTGCTGCTGCCCAGAGCAGAGGGATGCCCAGGTGGAGGTGAGCCTGCATGGAGGGTGAAGGCCCAGAGTGGTGAAGCCTGTGGCTTGGAAGCTGCATCTGACCCTGGCAGCTGGATGCCTGGGATGCGTCCCGACAGAGGGCGAGGGGCGAGGAGGAGCAGCTCCCATGACTTTAAGAATCTGGCGGGAGGGAGGCTGTTCAGTGGCGTTTGTGTCCCCTGCTTCGGCAGCTGCTCCTTCCAAAAGGGGGGACGCTGTGCGCATGTTTCCTGCAATTGGCTCTTCAAATCCCAGACGGGAATGCCATGTGTTGCCATTTCCCTCCCGTGCCTTCCCCCAGAAGGGAGTGCTCCGTCTAAGGCAATCCTGCAGTGCCACCGCCCACAGACAGGGATGGTCTCAAGCAGGGGTCCTCAAACTTTTTGAATAGGGGGCCAGTCGAAAGGCTGCAGTGACCGTCGTGGGCCGGTGAGGTGGGGGTGCCTGGGGGCACTGGCCGGTGAGGTGCCATTGGGCGCGCGTCAGGCGGCATCAGGCGCTTGTGGCAGCGGCTCGCTCACTCGGAGATCTCCCAGCAAGTCCAAAACCATCTCCGAGCGAGCGAGCGAGCCACCACCTCCCTGCCTGCACAGCAGGCGCGCGTGGGCAGGAAACAGCAACTTGGGCTGGATGGAAGGCTATGGCGGGCCGGATCCGTCCCGCAGGCCATAGTTTGAGGACCCGTGGTCTAAAGGCTACTTCAGTATTATTCTAGGGCCAGGGTTCGTCTCACTGGCCTTTCAGGGGTCTCTCGGGAGCCAGTGCCTCCGAGGTCCATCCCTTGCAGCCCTCTGATTCTCCACTCAAAAGATTTCTGCTATCGGTGGGGTGGGCAACTTGAGGCAACACTTCTTAGGATGTGACAAAGGGCAGTGGGTCACCGGTTGCACTGGCTGGGTTCCGACAACATGATAATGACCACTCAGTGGTTAGGGCTGGGTTGAATGTGGCTTGTCATGGAACTATGGGTTGCTGTTGAAATACAGCTTATCATGTTGTCTGAATGGAGCCATGCCTTTTAGCCTTGAACAACCCATGAAATGAACCGATGGCTTGTTGTTGGGTTGTGAACTGTGGGTTAATCCCCATGGTTTGTAATCTGGGCTGGGTTCAGGGAATGCAATAACTCACGTTTCAGCAACAACCCACAGTTCAAAAACAACCCATGCTGAATCCAAGAGTGGGTTATCGTGTCATCTGAAGCCAGTCCTTCTGCGGATGCCTTTCACGGAGAGCTGATGTGGTCCGAGAAGGGATAGATCTGGGACAGGAAAATGGTTCCAATGGGCACCAGTGCAACCTGGACCATTTTCCTGGCATCCACCCGGGTGTCCGATCCTCTCCTGTTTTACCTTAAAAGCAAGGAACGATCTTCTCCCCTCCTGATCACTGAATTCACTTCAAAGCAAAGCAGTTGGTTTCAGCCAGTGATATTTGCATTTCCCCCTGGGCCACGTGGGCCTGCTTTGCAAGCAAAGTTGTGCTCCTCCGAGGTTTCCCCGGGATGCAGCATTTTGGCTTCCCGGCAAGGTGTGTAATTCCCCCATGGCTGTTCAAAAGCAAAAAAGCTTTTTTTTTTAACTGCTGCCTTCACCATGGCAGCAAATTCTGCTGCGGGGCAGGAGCAGTTGGGCGGGGAGAGATGCAAACTGTGGGCCATGTTTAGTTCTTTGCTTTAAAGAATTAATTCACCGATTAATTAACAAACTCATGATTAATCTCCTACAATTTCTGTAATAAAGTGACGGCCCGGTTTAAAAGTGAACAAAGCACGGAACGGCTGGGGGTCGGCTGTGTTTGGGGGCTTACAAAAGCATCTTCAACACCCGGTCACTACAGAATGGACCGGGCAAAGTTCAGTCTAGTCTCTCTTCAGGTTCTGAAGCATCTCTTCTCCGCACAATGGTTAAAGGGAGAGCAGATGTCTTTCTTTGCATGCGGTAATCCGTTGACCCACCCTCCGGCGTAGGCTGAAGGACTTGTCCAAACCCAGGGGTCCTCCGAAGGGGTCTTGCTCAGCCTCCACCGCTTTAGCGGATCAGCTCTTGTATCTGAGTTCCTGCCCTTTGTTTGTTTATTTTTTTTCACGTAAAGTTTTTCTATGCCGGCCGCTTACTAAAATTCTCTGGATGGCTTTGCTCCTTCTATAGCAAAACTCCTTTCTGGTTTCCTTGTTTCAACATGCAGAAATGGGATTTTTATGATCGGTCATTTAATTGCCTTTACCTTTTCGTGTATTAGTGGTTTCATATGATGAAACTGCGTTGAATTTCTAGTGTTCTGATTTTTTTAAATTTGATTTTTCAAAGCCACGGCACTTTGGCTATGAATGAGATGGAACAGGCAAAGTTGCCCTTTATTCCAGTAGGTCTCTTACATGCTTCCTTTCCACTGGACTACAACTTCCATCACACCCCTTGAAGAGCCATGCTGGCTGAGGATGATGGGAGCTATAGTGCTCCATACATGGTTGCCTAGAGCACAGCGCTAGGCATGCTGAAATAGAGTCCTGCCATTCCTTGACACCCCCAGGCTGTACCTCTAGGGCCTGATTCTGTGCCCCCCAGGCATTGTCAGGGGAGCATGGAGCTCCGAGTTCTGCACTTGCTGGCCTCGTTGGCTCAGAAATTGGTTTCAGAAAGGGGCATGTGGGGAGCGGGCTGGGCGGAGAAGAGGCTGAAGCCAAGGGCTTATGCAGAATGCAAACAGTGCCCCCCACTGCCCCCCCCACTGCACTCCACCTCCGGCGCTAAGAATGGCCTTCTAGTAAAATGCAGGGCGTGCGACTGGGCAGATCTGGCTGCTGGGCACCCTGCCTGCCAGAGACTTGCGTCCAGAGAGGGAGAGCAACTGGGCTGAGCCCCAAGAGACGGATTTCCTCCCTCCTGGTTCAGGCGGCCTCCACCCGGTGTCCACAGAACCTCCAGCCTGGGTCAAGCACCCTTCCCTGCCTCCATGCTTTCTCCTGCCATGTTACCTTGGCCCAGAGGGTCTCCAGGTGGAGGACAGGTGAGAATCGGGGGTACAAAGAGGATGGATCGACCTCTTGGCCAGATCGTTGTGGCGCCTGCTGCTGTCTTCCCAAGCCGTTCTTCCCATGCGCAGAGACCAGTGTGATAGCCGGTGGTGCCCGGCTCGCCCCGGATTCTCCGAATGCCTCCGCCATTAGCACACCGGCGTCACTGTTACTTATCAGCATTGCAGTGGTATATTTAGGGTCATCTGGACGGCCTCCAGAGCTGCCACTCCCCAAACAGAATTGAAAACCAGGCTCCAGGGACAGGCATTTGATTTGGAGCCAGAGGAGGTGACACAACCAAAAAAAGATAACCCCAAACCTCCAGAGCAAACAAAGCATTCGCAACATCTCACCATTAAATGCATGACGCATGACTGCAACTCCTGGGAAGAAGGCCTAGTGGTCACAGAGCTGGGGCTGAGTTTTGACTACCACACTGAGCTTCAACAAAAGGGTTTCGCGGGGCTGAAATGCAACCATCAGCTTTTAATAAAAAGGCTAACCAACTCTCCAAGAAGGGCTGCCATTAAAACTGCTGGAGTGCAGGAGGAACACCTTCAAAAACGAGAAAGAGACGTCCCTCCTGTGCTTGGCCTTTTCCCTCATTCTCTGGCTGCTTTGAGGCTAATCTGTCAGAAATGATAGCGAAACTTGAAAGCCTCATCTCACCGCATGGACTCATCGGAGCAAGGGGTGCGGGGTGGGGTTCACCAGCCCCACAGCACCCTGGTAGCTGCAGTCACAGATCTCGGACCTGCATTCCTGTGACTTCCCTCAACTACAGCACAGGCGACTCCAAACCAGCAGCTCTGATGCTGAAATGGGCCCCGAAAATGGTCTCTAAGGAAGGCTGGGCGAGGGAAGGCTGCCTCTGCCTGTAGCGAGAAACCAGCTGGGAGGGCTGCGCCACTCCGTTTTCTCTGCCCCCACCCCAATTCTGCTCTGCAAACAAATAATGAAAAACAATTCACAATCTCTAAAGGGTTACGAGCTGCCCTCCCTCCTTCCTGGGTCCTTCTGAAGTTTGAGTCAGCACAGCCAAGAGTGAGGGATGAGAAAGCTGCAGGCCAAAACAGCTGGATGGACACAGGCACCCTCCTCCCCCCCCCCCCCCGATTGCAGCAACATTGGTCCGTGCTCCCCGGGCTGGTCCAGCTACAGAGGAGAACTAGGCAACCAGCCGGGATGCCTGGATTCCGTGGGCACTGGCACGTCTCGGCTGCAGGTACACCTTGCAGAGGGAGTCGGGGGGGGGGATTCCCAGAGATGAGCTAGGGGCCCATCAGATGAGGGACCGCCTCACTGTGAATTGGACAGCTTTGGAGGCCCACCAGCTGCCCAGGGCGGCATGGACTGTTTGTGAAGGGGCAGGGGAGGAAACAAGGGAGAAATGCTGGATCAGGAAATCAGAAAACAGACAGCATGTGGGGCCAGAGTTTGGCCCTCTGAGCCGGGCTCCCCCAGCTCGGTGCCTTCCTGGTGTGCTGGCCCACAGCACCCTTCATGGCCGGCCAGCACAGCGGGGGCATGGCTCGGCCTGCAGCCCCTCGAAGGGGCTGACTTTTCCAGGCGGCTCGAGCCGCTGACTCCTGAGGCTGCCCCGACCGGCTTCTGTCCCACAAGCCCAAAGGGAGAGGTTGGCACAGGAAGCACCTAGCCTGGCCAGGTGCTGCTCGCTCACCTGAGAACCCGTAGGACTCCCGGGCCCGCCCAGGAGCCGTGAAGAGCCCGTGAGGAGGGTCCAGACGGGGCTCAAAGCAGGCCTGGGCCCCGGTGGGGCTGTAGGTGCTGATGTGCTCCGAGCGGAAGGTGGAAGAGGAGGAGGAGCTGCTCCGCGCGGAAGACATGGCCCAGGTGAGCGTCCCAGCCACCAGCCACCAGCTCCCGTCAGCGGCCTGCTGGGACCGCAGTCTGTGTGCCTGCGTGACGGTAGCGGAGGCTGTGGGGAGGGGGGCAGCGGCCGTGTCCTTGGCCGGTCCATCGAAGATGTCCATAATTGGCCGAGTCTCTGGTATCCTGCTTGCTGGAATGCGAGATAAGGGCGCCCGCGCTCCCAGTGGCGGGGAGCAGGGGGTGACGGGAAGGGGGCAGGGTAGCCACCCTCCCTCCCTCCCTCTTCCCACCCTGAGCTCGCTCGTTAGTCACCTGTGGGGACAGTCCTGCTGCTTTTGCCACAAAACGTGACCTCAGACCACGCTGCCTGCGGCAGAGCCTCCAGTGGAGTCCCCCTTCCTCACTGTGAGCCAAGGGATGGCAGCCGTGGCTTTTGGGGGCATGAGACTCAGCGTGCCATAGGAGCAGTGTGGCCCGGTGGTTAGAGCGCCAGGCTGCGTCTTGGGAGATCTGCGCCCTAGGCTCTGCTCAGCCCAGGAATGACCTGGGCCAGGCACTGGTGTGCAGCTGCTTCTACTTCACAGGTTGCAGTGAGGATAACGTGGTAGGGAAGGGAAGGGAAGGGATTCTGGATTACTTTGCAGGAAAAAGGCAGGATATAAACAAGCAAGCAAGCAAGCAAGTGAACGAACGAACGAACAAGCAAGCAGCCCCCTCCTCGCTGCACCCCTGGTGGTGGAAATGCAACCACAACAAAGGGGCGCCCTCACATCTCCTGCCCTTTCTGGACCACCACCGTCTGCGCGCTGAAGTTCTGCCGTGCTCCACAGGAGGGCCCCGAGGCAGCCCGGGGTCCATGAGAGGGCCTGCTTGAGGAAAAGGAGCGCAACCACGGCCATTTGGGGGTCTGGCACGAGAAAGCAAGCTGGTGATCTCGAAATCCATTCTTAGTGTGCAAAGGGCTTCGCGCACGGTCTCCGCCATTCCTGCTAGCGCCTGTGGGTTGGCTGATGGAGCAAAGCTTGCAAGTTGGGAAGCTGGGGAGAGCCTGAGAGACGAGGGCTTACCTACGCCCGTGGTGTAAGTGCGTTTCCTAGCTGGGCTGCACCTTTCACGTGGGACTCACCTTGGCTAGGCAGTCTTCCTCTGCCTCTCAAGTTCAACCTACCCCACAAGGACGTTGCGATGCAAGTCGCTCTCTGATCTTTGGGGGAAGGCACAGTTCCGCGTGCCATTGATCAATCTGCTTGGCACATGTGCCGTGAGTCACATCTGAAACAAAATGTTACCATGCTTCTGCTTTGTTCTCCCTGATCTCTGCAGTTGTCTTCTATGCACCCTTCATACTGCTTTTCTATGCTTCCTGTTGGTCGATTCAATATTGTGTTTCTATCATTATTTAGCCAATGGGGTGTAGTGGTTAGAGTACGGAACTGGGACTCTGGGAACCTGGTCTCCACGCCACCATGAAGTTCCCTGGGTGACTCTGGGCCGGTCCCTCCCACTCAGCCTAACCTACCCCACAAGGTTGTTGTGATGATAAAATAAAACAGAGGAGGGCTTTGTAAGCTGCCCTACATTCCTCACAAGAGGAAAACATGCAGGATATCAATGTAAGGTAGAATGTAAAGTAATGTAGGAGGCACTGGCTTGTGAGGACATGGCCCAGGAAGTATCTTAAACGAACAAACACTTTTTTTAAAGTGCAGAGACTGCAGTACAGCCCCCTGTGCATCTGGTTGCTTTTGCCTCTGAGAGTCTCTGGAGCAGCTCAAACGGATGAGAGGAGGAAGCTGGGACAAGGCATGGGATGGACTCTTGAGCCCCCACAAGGACTGTAGGCAGGGATGGGCAGAGAACAGAGGCCAGAGCCCGAGCCCAGGGCCCGCTGGCAAAAGCCCCTGCTGGACTTGCTCCCGTTCTCGCCGCAGCCTGCTTTCCCCAGCCTCTCCTCTCACCCAGTCAACAGTGGCTGAGAGGAGGGACAGCCCTAGCTGCCACGGCCTCAGTGATCCTGGCTCCCCGCCTAACAGGCTGGTGCAAGAGAGGAAGGGGAAGAGCAGGAGGAAGAGGGCGATGCTGGCAAGGGGGGGGCTCGCTGGGGAGACAGGCCCCGTGAGTGCGCCTTGCCCAAGGACTTGCCACGAGCTGGATCTGCCACTCTCCCTGGCTCACCCTGTCCTTCCAGGCACAACCGAAGCCTCAGCTCCCTTCTGGCACACGCATCCACACCGCTTCCTGGCCGGGGAGGGCTCTGGGAGCGTCGACATGGCTCGTGCCCCCACTTCCCCTCCAGCTATCCGGGCAGCCCAGCCGTGCTAAGCCCGAGTCCAATTGCCGTGCTAAGCTTTTCCTTTGGGATGCAGCTAGAGACCTCTGGATCAGAGACACGGCGAGCTCAGCCGGTGCGTGGCTCGGCGTGAGTCAGCCTGTGCTCGGACCGCACGCAAGGGCCGCAGCTCCAGCCTCATCCCCATGCACACAACCAGCACCAGATTTACGTACACAGGTTTGGGGGACACCCCACAAGCCCTTAATCAGGCCCTTGTGACACCCGCGAAGTGCCTCGGAGCCCCACCTTCCCGGTTCATGTCGATGCCACTTCGAATGCCAGCTCCCGGGGCGCTGAACCTCTTTCAGCCTGAGACTGTGCTCCATTTCAGGGGGTGTGATGGGAGGCCAAAGGGGTGGTCCAAAATCGCCTGCCTAGTTTGAGCTACTGTTCCTGCTGCAGGTGCTCAGCTGTAATTAGTCAGGGAGGCACCGAAGCCTTTTGGAAGCGGTGGAGGGTGCCGAACTTGCAAGGAAATGGGCCGTGGCTATCTGGGAATGCCAAAGCAAGCGCAGGATTGGGAGGGGGTGGTTGGCCATTCCCCAGAAACCCACGGATAAGCACCCCTTGCTGCTGTTCCCTTCTTCACCACAGGCCCCCGTTCCAAGTTTCTCCGTCCCCTTTGCTGGCCCGGCAATGGTCATGGCGAGGAGATGCCACGGGCTTCTTGCCGATTTGTCTTTCAGGGACGGAAGGGTGGCCGTGATGTGGAAGGGGCGAGCAGCATGAGCACCTGGTGGCCTGCGGAGGGCTTCTTGCTCAAGGGCCCTCCCAAATCTGAGCTAGCACGCTCCGTGGGCTCATCAGGACCTCTTGAGCCTGCCGGAGACCTGTGAGAGCGTGCCTTGCACGCGCCAAACTCTGCCATCGTCCACACGCATGGGAATGCCCTCACGGTGGCTCCAATCACAGCCTCTTTGAACAGGGTGGTTATGCGCCTCCTGTGTGGCACAGGGAAGCCCACGCACACATTCTTCACATTCAAAGACACTTCTCTGATTGTAAGAATGGAAGAATTCAAGAAGAGCCTTGCAGGGTCGGATCGATGCTCCACCCCATTCAGCACTCTCTACACGAAGCGGCAAACTCGCTGTCCACAGGATTCCCCAGGCAAGACCCCCACCTGCAGCTTCACCAGGTGCTGCATCTGATAAAGGAGGTTGCACTTGGTCAGCAAAGGTCAGTAGCCATGGATCGTTTCCTCCCACACGAATCTCTCCAGCCTCCCTTTAAAGCCATCCAGACTGGTGGCCTTCATCATTCCCCATGGCAGTGAATTCCATGCTTTAGCTATATGTTGAGTGATGACACAATCCCCTTTATCTGTCCTAAGCCTCCCGCCAATCAGTTTTAAGTGATATGGGACAGGAGAACAATGTCTCCTCCTCCACTTTCTCCTCACCATGCATTATTTTAAACACTCTGTCAGGTCCCCCCTGAAGTGCCCTTTTGCTAAGCTGAATGATCCCAATGGTTGTAGCCACTCTTCCTAGGGGATGCCCAGCCCCCCGATCTTTTTGCTGCCCTTCTCTGAACTTTTTCCAACTCGTTAGCATCCTTGTTCAGATAAGGTGACCATACTGGACACAATATTCTAAGTGCTGTCACACCAACTATTGGTATTTCTACAAAGATTTCTGCATTTCCACATAGAAACGACTATATGCAAATTTACACAAATCAGTGTTCCCTTGGCACCCTTTTTTGTCAGTACAAAGGTGCCAGCCTATTTCTGGGTGATCCTGGGGTTTCTTGGATGCTTGTTGGGGAACCCCAGTGAGAAACTTGGCATCACAGGCATCCTCCCCCGAACACTGACTTGCTTGATGTGTTCCGGGATTATATTCCCAGTTCACACAGATCACCAGCAAGGGCTTGGGGTCATCAGCTGTGGGGCTGAACACAGACCCCATAATCCCCTCTAGATAGGGCTCTGGCAAGGGGCATCTGAAGGGCAGAACTTTTGAAACCCACGGGCCAAATCAAGGATAGGTGAGGGGGGATTCCAGGAGCAATACACTGGGAATGACCGTAACCAGGAGGAATTGGTGGAAAGAGAAGCACACAGAGCAGTCTGATAGAACCAGCCTTTTAATGAATTACAGATACAAACAGAACGAAACAGACACTCGCACCAGCCAGGGGTGTACACCGGGAGCAGGACGGGGCAGAAATCGGGGTACACAGAAACAATATTGTGCGTTTGGAAGTGGCGGGAGGGGAAGAGCGCAAGGCCAGAGAGGTGGGGGCACAGTGGGGGAGGGATGCATAGCCTCTGGGTCACAGCTCTGCACAGGCATCGAGGGGGCAGAGTGGGTGGCAGGAAGGGGCAGCTGCACAGAGATCAGGGCCTGGGGCACGTGCTACAGTTCCACAGAATGGACTGACTTTGCACAAACAGGTGGCACACGATTTGGGAACAGAAGGGAGTCGTGATGACTTCTCCAGCATCCTTGATTAGAAGGGGCATCTGCCGGCAGGATGTCGTGTCCTCCCCCCACCCTCAGCCACCTGCCCCCCCAGGGTGGCCCTTGATCTGCGACACACGCCCCCGCCGTGCTCTGCCACCCTGGCAGGCTGTGCCACGACTAGCTGAAGCAGCCGCAAGAGACCCTTCAAGCACTCGGCAAGCCCTCCCTGGTGTTGGCGGCTCCAGGAGAGCGAGGTGCAGGCAGCCCTGGGAACAGACAGACAGGGCCTGGGACAGGCCACAGCCGGGCACTTGGTTACGAGGGTCCGTCCCTGATTACTGGAAGCCCTCCGTCCCCACATCCCAAAGTATCTCGGAGCAACCATCAGCACCCGCAGAAATGTGGCACCCAGCCCCACCCCAGAAGGGCAGGAGCCCCGCCTTCTGGAGCAAACACGGCATTCCTGCAGGCCTGGATTCAAAGAAAACCGGGCAGGCAGCCAAGCCAAGTGGGGGGATGCAGCATGTCCATCTGTCCTTCTGGGGGAGTCCTGGACCAGAGCCAAGCTCACCCTGTGGGTATGTGCATGCAGGACTGACCATGGGTTTCCTTTTCTGTGTGTGACTGCCATCGGGTGTACACACCAGGCAGGTTGCGTGTACACTGTCCTCCTCTAGGAGCATTCTCAGTGGTGATGCTTCTGCTACAAGCACAGATGCTCGCATGAAACTCCAGAGGATGGGGGTTCCTGTACTTTTGGTGGCACTGCTGAAGAAGGAAAAGGCTGGGTCGGGAAAGGCTGACCTGGCTGAACCTTGGGGGGGGGGGTGCCTGCAGCCCGCCCAACACCCAGCTTCTGACAACGGTAGACCCACCTGCCTTCAGAAAGGTCCCAAGCAATGCCTCAAGGCAACGCCCCTCCGGTTTCTATCCCAGCATCTGGCATTCAGGGATATATTGCCTCTGGAGATGGAGGTTCTACTTTCTCTGAATGAAAGGAAGCTAGAAGGAACCACACCTGTCCGCACCACCTGTCTTGAAGGAGCAGCAGCAGATGTGGGTTTAGGCAGGCTTGAACATCTGCTGTCACACGTAAAATGCCCGAAATGCCATCGGCGTGTCCCCAAGGAGGGCTCCTGCGAGACATCCCAGGGACTGGGGGTGCCACGTTTTATTACTAACCCTGCTTCTGGGCCTCCAGCACTGAGCCGACTCCCAGAAATGTACAGGTAAGCTCCCCTTGCTAGCCCCCCAGAAAAGGGAGGATGAAGGCCTTCCTGGCTAAATTTCTGTGGGTTCAGCTGATGTAGGATGGCAGCTCATATCTGGCCAACCCCCCAAGAAGTATGGAGCATCCTACCATTTGGGATGGGTGGGACGATGGGCCGTGCTTTGTGCACGATTTTACCCCATGTGCAGGTGTGTGCATATACTACGCAGATGTGTGTGTGAGTGCAGGAGCTGCGCCTGTGTGCACATCCAGACCTGTCTGTGCACATGCGGTGTGTGTGAGGAGGACAAGCCAATGGTCTATGCACTGGTGCATGCGCTTCCCCTTTGCACCGTCGACTTAAAACTGGCTGATGAGTTATGTTCTCTTCACTGGGAACTTCGCTATGGACAGGGGAGGAGGAGTTACAAATCTTTAACAGACATTTGGCAACACCCGGACCATGCTACCATTGCCAGCATGACATTTCAGGTGGGATTCACCCTATCTAATTACTGGTGCTGCCATAATTCTGCCCAGCCCAGCCTGTAGGCATAAATTCTTCCCCTCTTGAAGGTGATTTACCCGGGTCCCTCCTCCACAGCATCCCCCCCAGCTTTTGGAGTGGTTTGGGCCGTATGGGGAGAGGTGGCCGGAGGAGGCATCAACCAGTCTTGTGCAAAGGGGCCTACTAGGGGCAGGGCGGCAAGGGGCAAATCACAGTATTTCCCACCCGAAGTTGCCAGGACGGAAGAGTGGAGGGGCAGGAAAGAAACCCCTTGGAAAGCCCAGCTGCCGGAGAGGCAGCAAGGCCGGTGAAGGCAGCCGCACAGAGACACACGCATACAAAAATATAGAAAAGATCTGGGGCAGGCTAAGAGGGTCGGCCACCCCCCCCACCAACCCACACTGTGCTCCTGGCTCCCTCCAAGGGAGAAAGGCAGGCATCACGGGAGGCATCCGTGGGCCCCTGCGCTTTCCTTTCCCCGCTCTTCCTTCAGGTTCACAGTAGAAAATTTGAGACAGTAAAAGCCAAGAAGGTCCATTTGCGCCAGGGTGGATTTTTTTCTTTTTCTTTCTTGTTATTTTTTTTTAAAAAAAGGCATAACAAATCAAGCATCTGTCGCATTCCGCATTCCGTTTCAGCCCTTCACCTTGAGCCGAAGGTGTTTGGAAGGGGAAGGGACACAGGATGTGTGTGTGTGGATGCACACTGTGTTGACACAGACACACACAGACACACACTCCGATGTCTTAAGAATCACAGCAGTTCTGCTTTAGGAGTGCCAGTCATGCCACCTGGACAGCAGAAAAGGTCCCTCTTCTCCTGAGGGCACGGGGACCGGCGCGTCACATGCTCCAAACCAGCCCGGACGGCGGCACATCGGTCGCGCCGCCTTGTTTGCGTTACTTGGCTTGGGTTTCCCCCTATCCCCACCAAGACATTCTCATGCAAAGAAAACAAAAACAGGCCACAAGAGAGAGAAAGAGAGAGAGAAGATGCAGCAGGCAAAATCCACGAAGCCCCAAGAAAAGCCCCTTGGGCTTAAATGGTTGACTCGGGCGGCACGGTGGAGGCGGAGGTGCCTTGGGTGGGAACGGCTCCCAGCTTGCGCCCAGCCCACGTTCCCCTCCCCGGCGCAGGGCAGGGCAGGGCCGGGCCCCCTCCCAGAGGGCGGGGAACCACCCCTCCGAGAGGACCGGCGGGTCGCAGGGCGGGGTGGAGGATGGGGGCCACGGAGTGGGGCGGAAGGGCGGGTGAAGCATGCCACGGGCCAGCAGGGCTCACGGGCCCCCGGAGTCCTCCTCCTGCTGTCCGCCCGCCTCCTCCTCCTCCTCCTCCTCTTCGTTGTCGTCGAGCGACACCACGCCCGAGGAGGCCACGTCGGACACTTTCCTCCGGACCTGGCAACTGTCCCCGTGGACCTTGCAGTCCTTGCACGGGATGGCCTCGTCCTCCGTGGGCGAGAGGCAGGACTCGGTGAATGACATGGAGTACATAGAGTCCTGGCACTCGAGCTGCGCCAGGCTCCGGAAGGCACATTCCCCGGCTGTCTGTGTGGGCCCCTTGGGGAGGGGCGCCTCCTCCCCGCCGGACACGGAGCCCAGCAGCTGGGCGGCCAGTTCCGAGGGCGAGCCCAGCTCCTTGAGAAGAAGGCTGTCCTCCAGGCTGCAGAGGCTGGAGCACAAGGTCTCCGGCGAGACGGTGGTCTGGGAGGAGTCGCTCTCGGGGTCGCAGGAGCCTTGCCGGCCGTTCAGCTGGCCCAGCCGGCTGTGCAGGAGCCCCTTCAGCAGCGTGCTGGCCGGCAGCGGGTTCACGGCGTCTGCAACGCAGCAAGGGACCGGGAGTTAGCATCGCAGGCGCCTGAGAGTGGCCGGGGGAGCCCAGTCGGGGCGCCTAAGGACACAGGCGCAGGCCCTGCTGGACTGGACCAACAGCCTTCCAGTCTGGCCTCCCGTTCCGACAGGACAGAGCCCAACCTACCTCACAGGGTTGTTGTTGTGGGGATAAGATGGAGGAGGAGAATGATGTAAGCTGCCTTGAGTCCTTTGAGGAAAAAGGCAGGATATAAATCGAAAAATAAATCGAAAAATAAATAAATAAATGAGCTTGCCTCCTCTGATGCAGAGGTGGTGGAGAGCGATCCAGGTGAGTCACTGACGGTTTTCCCCAAGAATTTGTCCATCCATCCAAACCGGAGGCCACTAGTACATCTCTCTCTCCTGTCTCTCCTCACAGCCAGAGCCAAGCCAAGCCGGCAGACAGTCCGGGACCCAAGACCTCAGGGACCCTCTGCCACTTCCCACCACGGATCCGCCATCTGCCTCGCTCACGCCCTGGCAAGGTCTGCCTCTGGCGCCTTTCCCAGCGCAGCTGGGGGTTGACGCGGATTGCTCCGGCATGCGGAGCAGGTTACTGCTCAAACTAGGAGGAGGCTGGGGTTGAGGCCTCACACGGGCCACTACTTTCGAGCCCCAGTAGGAGCTGCAGGGAGCGGCTCCGCAAGGCCTGGAAAGCAACTCACGAGCCAGATCGGACAGCAGCACAGCCTCCTTTCAGCACCTTCTGGTTCAGGAAGAAGAGAGGAGAACCACAGAGGAGAAACGATAATGACCATCCCCAGTGCCAACAGAAACCCTTCCAGTGCTGCCCATCATGCCTCGGAAATAGTTTTCTTTGTCAGGGCTGCTCAGCTTCTGTTTGATCAAATGGTCCCGATAAATGAAAGTAGACTTTCCAAAGCATGTTGAGCAATAATGCAAGGCTTCCTATAGGTACTTGAGACTTCGTTTTGTGTTTCCCTCCTTGGTTTTTCTTGCATTTTAGAAATAGCCATCATGTTGCTAGTCCTTAGTCCTTGTGCATCAGAAGGACTGGCCCCCTTGCTAGACGGCATGGCTAACAGCGTCAGAGCGATCTGTCCTGTTTCATGCTATGATGAAGAGAGAATGGCCAGGAACAGAGTACAGGTTTGGCCTTGGCCAGGACTTCCGCTTATTCCTGGTAGGGGTCCCACTGATCCCTGGGAGAGGCACACGAAGGGACGCATGGCTGCGTGTGCGGCACATTTCTAGGGAGCACTGACCGGACCCCAAAGAGCTGCCATCAGCTGCGCTATTCTGGCAGGCCAGGTGATCATTTGCTAGGTGCATCCATGGGGTGCTCCCAACTACTAAAGTCACTTTTTATTGTTTACGGAAAAAGCATAGCCAAGGCTATCTGCCTCTAACCCTGGGATTCTTTCTATTTATTTTGGTTGGAACAAATAATAATACTAATGCTAATAACCATCCTAATCGCTAATAATTAGACCTTAAAATAGGCTTGGCTATAATCCTCTGCCATGGCTGCAGGCCACCCACCCCGTGACGTGACGCACTTTCCCCGCAGCCACAAGAGGAAACGTTCACCCCACACCCTTGCCCCTGCCTCCTCTTTCTCTCTCTTCCCACTCATTCTAATTATACAGAGGAGTAATTAGAACTTTCCTGAGACAGGGCGCCAGCAGATTAGGTGACTTTCTTTGATATGCAAATAGCCCCAGATTTGTTGGCAGTTAATTGTAGAGAAAAGGGAGGTTTTTTTGTGCAGGGGGATGCGAATTATATGCTCCAGCAACACACGTGCACCAGCTGTTGGGTCTTTGTTGGGTGCAAAGTCTTCCAGAAGGCTGGAAATCCTTCATGCCAAGCCGAGGGCACGCGGGCACTGGTAGGAGCGAAGGGCCAAGCTTCATGGCCTAAGGGACAATATTTGGGGATGCAGAACGGCTCACTCTGCAAAAGGCAGTTGACGCTTTAATCTGAGCCAATTCTCAACCCCAGACTTGATGGTAGAGGTTGGTATAAACCCCCAAATGCACCAAAAAGGATAGTCACACATTTGAATACTGTATTTTCAATTTCTCCACATGATACCTGCCCATTCATGAAAGACATGCAGGAAGGCCAGGTGAACAGCGCAAGTGGAAGGTTTCAAACCCATGTGGCCTCTGTTTTCCTAGTGCACCAGTAGCAGAATTGCCTTTATTTCTGAAATGATTAAATTAAATAAATAAATGAAAGGTGGAGTCCGAGGTACAGAACTCCAAGCCATTTTGCTGCTCTGAATTGTTGCAGTTGTTGCGGCAGTATTGCTCTTAAAACTGTTTTTTTAATTTAATTTATTTATACGGAGACTGCTTAAAGTTGTTGCTTAATCTTTGCTGGTATAGAAAGAGAAAAGATGATAAACCCACTTTTTCTACAACAGCGGGCAACGGGGCTGCGCTGTCCATTCCCTGATGTTGGAGCTGAGCCTCAAGGGGTGGCCAGCACCATCCTGCTCGCGACCTTTTTGGGAGTGCCGGTGCAACATGCAGGTTCACTGGCCCATCCCTTGAGGGGTGCGCCCCATCTCCGAATGGATGCCCACCCCCTCCCCCAAAATACAAGAGGCCTTCCTGGTCTGCCCATGATGAGCCGTGGGGAAAAGAGAGCAGCCCCTCCTTGGCCTCGGGCGACCCTCTCGCTTAGCTTACCGGCTGGCTGAGTGCTGTCAGTGGGAGTGCTAAAATCCTCATCATAGGACTCATCGTTGGACTCCTCCCCGTCCACGGAAGACCAGGCCCTCAGCTTGGCTTCTGCAATCGCAAACTGTTCGGCTACACCTAGGGAGGAAGGAGAGCTTTCAGTCACCGAGAGAGAGGCAGCGCCTGGCAGATGCAAGATGTCCGGGCCAACATCTGGAACAAGGTTTGGCTTGAGGGGACTGTGCAACGGCCGAAATGCTCTGTATTCCCAAGCCTGGCAACTATATTTCAGACTACCAAGCCACTGTGAAAGGAAGCGCCAACACAGGGGGGGACCGGTCCACAAGCGGAGGTGCAACATTCCAGGCGCCCAGGCCACCAGGCACCTGTGCCTAGACCAGGACAAAGTGATGCTGCAGGTAAAGGGACCGGAGGCAAAAGAAAGCAGGGCTTCTGCTGGCACAGAAGGAGAATGGCACAACGTTCCCTCTTCTGCACAGATACTGGAAGCGCACGGGCTACGCCCTCTTCTGCATCAGGCCATCTCCGCTCTATTTCTTCTTCTGTCGCGGAGCGGCAAACATTGACATGGCTTGGGCAAAAAACAGATGGCAGCTCATCCACTCACTTCCTAACCGGCCTCCATTCCTTGCCACCTGTAAAGCTGAATCTTAGCTGCCCGATCTTGTATGGGGAACCCCTTTTGATCGGCAGGAAGCCCCAGGAAGCATCAATGTGATGCCTGCTTACGAAGAGCCGTGCGGTTTCAGGCCAGCGGTCCCTCTAGTCCTTCATTTTCTCTGTCAGCTGATGCTCTCCCACTCATCCAGTTCGTGGGATGGGATACCCCTTTTGGGTTCCCAGATCAGGAGGCAGGGAGAAAAATGTCCCCCTCTCCATTTGCTCCACCACGACCAAAGCGGCAGAACACTGGGGCATTCCCCCATGCTCCCCGCTCCCAGTATTTAAAGCACTGGGACTCTCCAGCTCGTGGGCCAACATTGGCCCCCCGTCCACCCCACAAAGAACTTATCCCACATCCGGCCCACTCTCCAGACGTCTACATTCCTCCATCCAGGATGGGCCACTGAGCTTTCTCTGCAGAGAGAGAAAAAAATGGGTACGGTGGAAGCTGGGAATGTCAGGAGCTTTGCAGAACGAGGCCACCTGTCCCAAAATGTTGCCTGCCATTGCCTGAAAGAGATGGCGCTGGGGGCCCCTGGGTTGCTCCCTTGCACTCCAGCTCCTCAGGAAATCTCACAATGGAGATGAGAAGCGTAGCGTCTTAATTTGCCAGCTCAGCTCTCCCAAAGGAGCCCCAGCCACCCACTTGCTCAAAATTCCATGGCTGGTTTTCACACATGCATTGATCTTAAACATACATAAATTAAAAATGACCTCTGGCCTCAGGCTAAGCTAAGCTGAGATCAGGGCAGAGCAGGGGGGCATGAAAAAAAACTCCACCACCTAAATGCCATTATCAGAATGACCTATGCAAATTAGGGAAAATAGCGCGACAGTACTGAATTCGCCTGATGTGTGATAAATGTGGGGCCATTTATTTAGGCTAGGATCCACCCAGCCTTGGTGTGAAGCTGAGAGAGGGAAAGTGCCTTGACTTACTGGCAAGATACACACTGTAGGGGCAGAGAGGCAGGTCAAGCGCTAGTACAGGTGTGTGGATCCATCAGGGTCTCACACTCTCAATGGGATGCTCATTGATCTCATCAGATCTCCCTTGAAGTCTGCAGAAATGTAAGAACTGCACCCTGGATCAGACCACGCTCCATCTCACCTGGGATTCTTTGTCGTCACAAAGGCGACAGCCCAGACATGGCTTATTCCATGCACTTATTCTTCAAAGGTAGACTGCCTCTAACAGGGAAGATCCATTTACTACTGCAGCCATCAACAGACCTACCCTCTTCCATAAATCTACCCATTCTCTATTAAAACCATTTTAAGTGGTACTTAAGTAAGTACTTAAGATTTAAGTTGTGAGTATGTCATTCATTTTGGGCTTCTTAAATTGGTTTTAATTTGTAATTTATATTGTATTTTAATCTGTATTTTATACTGTTCTGTATTTTATTTTGTTGTTGTAACCCGACCAGGGAGCTGTATAGCTAATGGGGCAGGTTAGAAATCAGATAAATAAATTCATCCATCCAAGATTTTCTCAAATTTAATCAATGTTCTCTATGAAAAAAAGCTCTTCCATTTGGATGCCTTGAATCTACTTGCAAAGGAGTGTTGGGTGACCCAGAATTTGAAAATTAAAAGAGGGAGTGGGAGAATTTTTCTCTGACTTCCTTGATCCAGTTCAGCTCGTCACACAGATTGCATCGTATCACTTACGCTGGCCACTAGAAGTACAGGTGAGGGACACCCCAGTTGCTCCCAGTCTGCTGGCAACTGCACCAGTATAACAGACACATTTGCAAACATTTGCAAAGCAGCTTTGGGAGTTCCCAGTTGATGTTCTTGGCCAGCTTCCCTAACTTGGTGCCTTCCAAATGGATCAGATCACAAATCCCATAATCCCCAGCCAGCATGGAGTGATTGGTCCAAGAAGAAACATTCCTGTCTCCTGGTTCCAAACGGCACTGCTCCCTTCTGCAGTTTTACACGACAAGAGAGATTGGAATTTGCCCGACCCTGCTAAAGGCATTTAACCAAAGCCTGGGGCTACATAAATATATATCCCCATTTAAAGTAACGTTGCCATCTGTCTTTTTCTAGCACCGCTCCTGGGACTTTAGCAGCAGCCTGGCAGGAAGAAATTGAGCAGTGAAACGGCATGGCGTGACACAGCGTCATTCATCTGTGTCATTGGCTTGCCGGGAGCGAGTCAAATGAAGGTGGCAACTCCAGGGTAGGTTTCCGATCCCTGTGCCCCGGCCGAGGTTCCCCTATTCACCCTTTAGCCTGGTTCCCCATCGCCAGTGCACCTGCAGAACAGACCAGCCCTGAGCATAGGCAGAGTGCCCCCTGCAGTCAGCCCTCATGGACGCAGAGCCGGGCCCTGCTCTTCCCTTCTGTTCCCTTCGCTCCCCCGGCCCCACGTGGCAGCACCACCCACGGCAGCCGAGTGACCAGGTCACCTAACGGGACGGGACGGGGCCGCATCCTCTGTTCATTTTACTTGTCAGCAGGCAGCCGAGCCTGTGGTGAAACGGGGCCTGTGCGAGGCTAATTTGGGGCTGCAGCGGCCTGCGTGCGTCACCTCCTGGGGGTGGGGCTGGGGAAGAGAAGCCAGCGGTCACTCCCGGCGTTGGGCTGCAGCCCTTGCAATTAGGCTGGAATTGCCTCCTGTGCTCGGGCGGATCGCTGCCAAGGCTGTGGCTGGCTGCAGGGCCCGGCGGGCAACCAGCGACGCGCCCTGACGGGGGCGGGGGGCCGACAATCCAGGGGAGGGGGCGGCGCTCCCCCGCCTTGCCTAGCTGGAGAGAAGCAGCCATCGCGGGGAGGCAAAAAAGCCTCCAAGGACGACTCTGGACGGATGGCTGCTTGCCCCACACCTGCCTTTTCCCAACGTGGCATGCTCCAGAAGTGCCGGACTGCAATCCCCATCATTCCCAGTCAGCTTAGGGAAGGCCGGCATTGCTCAGGGGCCACTGGAAGAACGAGAAGCCGATTCGTCTCTACAAGCCTCTCCATTCCTTTCTCTTGTAGCGGCAGTGAGTGAAAGGAAACTGACTCCCGTTCCCGTTTTTCCAGAGTGAAAGGCAGGCAAGCTCAAAAGCCGGGTTTCTCCAATTAAAAGGGTCACCCTGGGAGCTGCCCTTCATTTGCCCAACTGACTGGCTGAGAAGGAATGACAAAGGCAGAACAGAGGGACGGTTTGTGCTCGTTCCGGAGAAGAACACATGGCAGGGCCCTGAGCGCACGAGCTTTGAGCACGTCGGCTCTGTGCGCCAGGCCTCTCCGAACGGCACCTGAGTCAAAAGAATCTCCAAAGCCTACAGGCGTGTGTTGGCACGGCTTGGCACATGTCATAAGGAATGCCAACATAAGCAAGGCCTGACGGGGATGACCTGGCCGTGGTACAGCTCCAGAAAAATGGTATGTGATCAGAAACAGAGCCCTGCAGGGCTAAGGGGCAGGATAAAAATTTAATCCATCCACCAACATTTCCTGACCTGTTGTCTTTTACCGAAATTTGATGACACGGTTTGATCTTTGAAGATGCTCTCTTGACTCTTTAGCAATATTCTGCACTTCCTTCAGTGCTATTTAACAAAACATAATATCAAACACAGCAAAACACAGCACATTATTCCCATATCTTTTCCCTGGCTTTGCCGTGCATTATTTATTTATTCATCACTGACATCTTGGGATGGTTTACAACACCGATAAAATAAGACAAAGAGATAAAAGTAGCACAGCATCCAATAATAAATATAAAAACCACAAATTAAGGCAGTTAACAGTGGGAAAATAAAAACGTTTTCACCTGGCGCTGAAAAGAAAAGAGTGTTGGTACCAGGTGAACCTCTCTGGGGAGCGTATTCCATAATCGAGGCACCACCACAGAGAAGGCCCTCCTCCAGGTAGCCACCCTCGTAATCTCTTTCAAGGAGGGTCCCCGAAGAAGGACCTCTGCCTCAGCTCTCAAGGGGCATTAGAGTTCATGGAACATAAGTGAGGTTCATTAAAAGGTATAGCACCATCATTCTATAGCAGACTATAGGAAGACGGACCCTAGCATAAAGGACAGAGATGCACCAAGGGACTTCCAAAAGCTGGAGATGAGCCCCAGAGACACTCTGGGGCCAGTTCTCTCCTGCAGGGATAAGCTCTCTCAAAGACAGGGCTGCAGATCTGACTTGCTCTGGCAGGACTCCTGTCTGTCACTGTTGATCCTACCCCCTGTCTGTCTCCCCCTCCCGCTGCTCCCATGATCAGGCAGTGAACAGCTCAGCCCTTAAGGCGGGCTGGGTGCTTGGGTGACACTCATGTCAAATGACAGTCCCTGTTGTCTCTGAAGCAGGGGGCTTCGTGGGCAGGAGGCCAACCGCTGTGTCGTTCCGGAGAACTGTGGCTCAAGAGAAGCAAGCTTTCCTCCCGTCTCTGGCAGGGAAGGGCAGGGGAAGAGGGTGTCTAAGATTCTTTCCCAGCTCCGTTTCACCAGGTCCTAGGTCTTTCGGCGGCTTGCCTGCTGGGCTTGTTGCAGGATGAGCTCCTACAAGGGAACAGCCAGCCTCTTTTGCTCACACAGGAGACAGCAAGGGAGGGGTGGAGAAGGCAGGCTCCAACCAACAGTGGTGGGACTTATCCGGCACTGGAGCATCTCCAGCTTGCAGTATCACAAACCCATTTTTCAAGACAGGTGTCTGTACAAGAGGGCAAGTCCATTAAGAAAAGGCTTTCTGCCCTCCCTCCCTCCCTCCCTCCCTCCCTTCCTTCCTTCCTTCCTTCATTTTATTTATTTATTTTTCAATTTATATTCTGCCTTTTTCCTACAAAGGCTCAAGGCAGCTTACATCATTCTCCTCCTCCATCTTATCCCCACAACAACAACCCTGTGAGGTAGGTTGGGCTGAGAGTCTGTGACTGGCCCAAAGTCACCCAGTTGGCTCCATGGCTGAGCGGGGACTCGAACCCAGATCGCCTGAGTCCCAGTCCCATGCTCTTAACCACTATACCACACTGTCTACCCCACACTGGCTCTCCCATTATGGGACTGAATCAAATGCTCCGAAAAGTGGAGGAGGACTGGGTGGGCATGGGTGGGGTTTTGGTGCAGGCTCTGCAGCTGTGTCTTCCGCCAAATATTTCTCTCAAAGCATGCTGACCTTTTGAATTTGCTCAGGGCTGTTCTTTCTAAGATTTGGCCAAGTGAGATGTGGCAAAATGTCAGCCTGCAATGAAAAAATTAAGATTCAGAGCTGCCAATGAAGAAACTTTCACTATGTGAAGGTGAACCCGGTTGTATTCTGTTTATGAAGTCCTTTTTCTGTATCTCAGTGTTCATCCTAATCCTACAGTATATACTAATAGCAAACTCAGTTGTCTAAGCACGACTCCTTATATGCTCAGGGGAACTGTACCGAAGGAGTAGAGAAAAACTCCCAGTAAGACAGACAGACAGACAGACAGACAACTCTCCCAAATGAGCCAAGGAGGACTAAGCATGCCCAGCGGCCACGGAATGAGATCATGACGACTGGACAGGGTGAGGAGGACAAGCAAGACCGGGGGGAGCAGGGATGGAACGGCGTATCTGGGAAGAGGGCTTGGCTGGCTTGGACCCTGACGATGATGAGTCACACACTGGCTCTCAATGGGGTAGGAAACAGGTCTCTGCTCCAAGAAGATTACAGTCCGAGAACTGAGCGGGGAAGAGGAGAAGCCAGTGTAGCAAGGGGGACACAAGATCCAGTGTGGTGGTATAACTGAGGTTTCAGTTCAACTAAGGACAAAGAATGAAGAAGGGCTCATGGAATACACTCCCCAGAGAGGTCCACCTGGAGCCAACTCTCTACTCTTTCCAGAGCCAGGTGAAGACCTTTTTATTTAACCATCATTTTAATATTAACATCACTAATTTTAATAATTAATTGTATACAGTCGCATCTTCATTTTCTTTTTATTTTTTCTTCTCTCTTTTCTTTAGTTATGAAATGATATACTGCTGTCTATTTGTTTTATTGTTGAATGTTTTTAATGATATTTATATTACTATACTGTTATTTATATTGTTATTTTTACCTTCTGTAAGCCACCCTGAGGCTGCTGCAAAGGACAGCATATAGATGTTTTAATTAAATAAAATTAATTAAATCATGTACACTCTGAGGAATAACTCAGCAGGAGTCTGCGTTCAGACTGCACAATAACCCAGACTTAAGGGCTGAGCGTGGGCTGAGTGTGGATTGTCACTGAATCATGGGTTGTCATTGAAAAGCAAGTTAACATGCTGCCTGAATCCAGCTGCTCCACCAATCCATGTCAGCCAAAAGCAGCCCATGAAGAAAACCCACGCTTGGCTGTAGGCTGTGAACTGTGGGTAGTTCAGCATGGTTTGCTAGGCGGGCTGGGCTCGGGCGACTGGATAGCCTATGTTTCTACCCCAATGCATGACTCAGTGGCCATCATCCACGCACCAGTGCACTCTGCTCACACTTCAGCCAGCCACCTGCGTTGTGCCGGGAGTCACCCATCCATTCCTTCTTGGCCTCTCTTTTTGGATCCAGGCTAATTGAGAGCCAGTGTGGTGTAGTGGTTAAGAGCATGGGACTGGGACTCTGACGATCTGGGTTCGAGTCCCTGCTCAGCCATGGAGCCAACTGGGTGACTTTGGGCCAGTCACAGACTCTCAGCCCAGCCTACCTCACAGGGTGGTTGTTGTGGGGATAAGATGGAGGAGGAGAATGATGTAAGCTGCCTTGAGCCCTTTGTAGGAAAAAGGCAGGATATAAATAAATAAATAAAAATAAAAAAAATAAATAATTTGCATCGTCCTAGTTATGGCTGTCATTACAACGGCGTGAAGACACGAGAGCCCCATCACTGGCGCAGGCCTGGCTTCCATGCGACTTGCGCAGAGCGGGGTTTGCTCCTCAGCAAATCCCAAAGGACTCCGTCGACCTTCCCCCACATGAGGAGCCCAGCCTTCATTTATTAAGGTACCTGGTGGGTACCTGGGTGCAAAATCACGATAAAATGTTCAGACAAAATCCTATTGAATCAGAGCATTCCTGCCCAGCACCCAAAACCCAGCCCAGAAATGCACTGCTCCTTCATTTCGCCCACGGGCTCCCCTCACCCCATCTACCCCTCCTTGTAATGGCCGTTCTGCAGTTGTCTGGCACTTCTAAGCAAGGAACTGGATTGAAAATTAAGTTTCTGAAAGGCACCTAAAAAGCAGAGGGTTGGGGTATAACTGGAAGCAGAGAAGGGATGAACAATACACTTGAACCCCCAGGAATATTTTCCTCAAACCGAACTCCGGGAGGAGATGTAGGGTTACGGTTTAGTTCCTCTCCTTCACCTAAAGCTTCTCCTCTCCAAATCATATCCTAGCCTGCCACCATTTTGTAATGCACCAGTGGAGACTTGTGTCTCTCTGAGTCTCTTCTGCTACAGCGAAGTGCTAAATTTTTCAGTGTAACTGCTCAACATGACAAGAAGCCCTATAGCCAAGTCCCCAGAGTGAGCCCAAAAGGCAGGCTCAAATGTGCTAAGCCATATTAACAGACCTCTTCAAGCAGACGGGGTTCAGACAATGGGATCACCCACACTCAAAAGATGAAGAGTGGGGGTTATCGCTGAACCACAGGTTGTTGCTGAAATGTGGGTTGCGATATCTGAACCCAGGTGAGATAACAAATCATGGGGAACAACCCATAGTTCGACTCAACAACAAACCATGGCTCAACATACGACTTGATAACCCGCATTTCAACAACGACCCACAGCTCAACAAACTTTGAATGTGGATTATCCTGTTGTCCAAACCCAGTTTTTGCTCCAACAGCAGCAGGTCTTTTGTACAGCCACTCAAACTGAATTGCCCATTCAGGACCGAAAGACTCCAAAAAAGTTTGCATTACAAGATGTAACATCGTTGGGAAAAATTTCACACACAGCCCAACAGCTACCGTGAAGATTGTTCCTAAACTCAAGGAAACAAGGAAGCTGGTGGGGTGGGGGGCGGGGTACAGATTACATCATTGTTCCCACGAAACCAAAAGTCTCAACACCTTGGCCCTGCACGCCCTGATGCCACTAAACTTTGCCAAGCATCCAGTTACGAGATGTCCTTACTCGCAAAAGTTCTCTGTTTGTGTGCATGTGTTGTTTATTGAACTGCACCCCCCACCCTCGCCCAGACAAAAAGGGCTATCAACACTCATGGAAATTCAATGCTGCCTCTGCTTTCAGAGGCAGGATACCTGTGCGCACCAGTTGCTGGGGAACATGGGTGGAAGGGTGCTGATCCTGATGGATGTTCTTCCCCTGCAGAGGAAGGCAGGATGTGCTCCAGTGGAGCAAAGCTCAGGGAGCCAAGGTTCCCTTTGGATGCCAGGAAGCACTTCCTGACAGTCAGGACCCTGAGGGTGTGGAATGGGCTTCCCCGGGAGGTCGTTGAGGCCCCATCGGTGCAGGTGTTCAAGGATAGGCTGGACATGCACATGGTGGGCATGTCGTGAGTGGAGCCGGCTGGAGCCAGGGGTCAGACTAGATGGCCCGGGAGACCCCTTCTGACTCGCTCTGTTTCTATGTTGGCCCGATTCAGCACGGCCCTCGTTATGTTGTAAAGGCATCTTGCTTCTGGACTCATACAGAATAAACCCCCACGCCAGACAGGACAGTATCTTCCCCTCCCACGTAGGTCCCACCTGCAGCAAACCTGGCCTCTTGCTCCCCCTCGCTGAGGTCCGAGTAGGAGTTGAATGTGCTTTCCAGGGCTACCGGGGAGTCCATGGGCTTGCACCATCCCTTCCACTCAATGAGATGGGCCACCCTGCCTTGGGCCATGGCGGTGGGCTTGGTCACATGGTCCTTCACCACCTGCGAGATGCCTGCCGAAGAGAGAAAAGGTGTTAGCAGATCGGATGCCCCAGACCTTGCCAAGAGAGCCCCCTGGCGGTGGGGCTTGCTCTCCTCCGCCAGGTGCGATCCTTGGACGCCTGTTGCCCAGGCTCTTGGGCAACCCTTCCCGGGGGCTCCAGGGCGCACGCTGCAGATTTGGTGACATGGCAGCCGCTCCAGGAAGCAAAGCGGCTCTGACTCGGCCTGTGGCTGCGTGTGCACAAGTCCCCTTGGAGGAAGCAGAGGTGGACTTCAACAGGCAGCAGCAGCAACGCCCAGTTCAAAGGCGGGGCCCTGCTTGTGAAAGTTCAAAGCGGCAGCGCATGTGTGTGGGTAGAGCCTAAAAATTCTTCTGCTGCCCTCTCAGATGAGGAAAGAGTCAGCAGCGACTACTCACAATGGCTATACGGGATGCAGCAGTTACACTGGGAAACCCGGGTTCGAATCCCCACTCAGGACAGGAGGCTTTTTGGGCGATCTTAGGCCAGTCACTGCTTCTCAGCCTGGCCTACCTCACAAGGCTGTTGTGAAGAAAAACTGGAGAAAGCAAAATGTATGCCCTTCTAACTTCCTCAAAGAAAAGGTCCTAAACATTAGGACCTAAGGACATCAGGAGGTTGAGCACCCGGAGGAGGGATCTCTCTGCGGTGGCGTCCCACCTATGGAACGTGCTCCCCAGAGAGGTCCGCCTGGTGCCGTCGTTATTTGCTTTTCGGCGCCAGGCCAAGACCTTTTTATTTAAACGTCATTTTAATTGTTGATTTTATTTATTGATTTTAACAACTTTGGCCATGACGTGTCCAATTTTATATAGTTGTATTTATGATATTTATTTATGTTTGTAAGCCGCCCCGAGGCTTCAGCGAATGGGGCGGCATATAAGTCTGCTAAATAAATAAATAAATAATACACAATAATAATATTTAAGACCTTCTCTTCACCTCCCATCTTTACTCCTTTTTATGGTGCAAGTCAACATTTTAAAGAGCCATGCTGACTGAGGAGTATGGGAATTGTAGGCCAACTCATCTGGAGGGCACCAAGTTTGGGAAAGGCCCCCACGGGACTACAGCAGAATAATGAGCTTCACCCATCCCCCCAGGTTGCCACCAAGTGTTGCTTCCATACAATGTTTTAATGGTTGCTGCACTGCAAACATTCTGTGCAGTGTTCGTTTTGTTAGCATGTCGACGGAAATGCAGGGCATAAATCGAAAATCCCCTTTAAGCCTCCAGGATTTTAGATATTTGGGGGACCCTCTCCTGATCCCAGAGGGGAAGAACAGAGCTGTCATCACCGTTACCATTTTTTAAAGGCCTGGCCTGCATGTTTGGTACAGTCCTGAACTGGCAGATTTTGCTGCACAACTTCAGGCTGCACGTCAATGGACCTGAACACGGCCTTCTCCCTCTGTAGCTTGCAAGGAATATTTCATCCACAGGAACAAATGCAGTCGGAAACCATACAGTCCATTCTGCCCCTGCAGGACTCTGTCAGAGGTGCAAAATTCAGTTTGAAGCTGCTTCTTGACTAATCGAGAACCTGCCCCTAATGCAACAGGCCATAAATATCTGGCTTTGAAATGCACTTCAGCATGCCCAGAAACCCGTTTACCCCTTGGCATGCCACACAGTCAGTTCAAGAGGCAGCTTGAACAGGTGATGCAATGAGCTTGACACACCACTCCAAACTGCAAAATGTATAAACAAACAGATTTAAGAATGTGAAATGTTTCAGCATACAATTCCAGCTCCAGCCGTAATTGCTGCCACTTATCAGCTGAGCCCCAAACCATCAGGAGCGAACTAGATAAAAGCCTCAGAAGGAAATCATGAACAATCAGCACCTCTGTTAAACAACCCATCAAAGGGCATTAATAAACAACATGGCCTGCTTTGCTTCTTCCTTCACATGGCTATCAGATTTCACTGGATCAATAAGCAAATGCTCCTTCACTTTTCTCCTCTTGCTTCTTTTGATTGTCAGCACCAAGCGCTTCACTACAGTCAGTCAGAAGGCACAATCCTTCCTTACATAGGGAGACCCCAGTCCAGTAGCTCATGCTGAATACTGGCCAAATTCTCCCTATATCTTTTCCAGGGGAGACACCCAGTATCACATTCTACATCTGCTCTTCAGGACGCATTGGACATTCCTGGCTCCAGCATTTATTACCATACAAACGGGAGACCACAAGATGTTGTTCTTACGCTGCCAAAGCAGCAGAAACAGCATTATCTTTGCTATTGCAACAATTCGTGATTTACTGGTCTGAAATTGGATTTTCAAAACAGGCAGTCCTTCAAAGTGCCTCCCACTCCTAGCAGTCGGAGCTGGTAACCTGTAACCATAAACTTTGCCAATTTTACTGGTTTTCGTTTAGATTCCGCAGAATAATTAATCATGGAGCTTTCTGAATCATATTCTTTGCCACCTGCTTTTTTATCAGAACGGGGAGTACAGAACTGCCATTCAACATGTCCCTTTTTATAGGTGTCCTACAGCATTAGTTCCTGACCTCTTTCTACAGATCCACCTCTGGGAGAAAAAAGGAGCCATTCATCTACATTTGCTGCCCCCTGTTAATGCCTTCCCTCTTCTTGCACCAAATTCCTAATATTACCCACATGTGAGCACTCCCAAATCATCAAAACGGATGTCCACTTCTGGTCCCAGTCAAGGATCATGGGCTAACGCAACCAGAGGCTTGGAATTATCCTGCATTATCATCTCCCTGACTTAACTTGCCGTGGTTGGATAATTATGCAGGCAGGTTTAACAGGCAATGATCTGCCATGACTAATCAGAGATTTTTTGACCTTCCGGCTAGAACCAAATGCATCACAGAGATGCTCCTCCTGAGCTCTGGCTCATTGGCGACCCGCCGGACATTTGGCAAGCCACCTGCCCTCAGCCGGCTGACCTGGCTGCCGCCGACACGGAACTGTTACGTGAGTTGAAACACAGCAATGCCTGTACCAGCAGGAATTATACTGGGAAATTGTGTGGTGCAGTGGGCAGTGTATTGGCCTGGGGACCAGGGAGATCCAAGTTCTGGTCCCACTCAGCCACGGGGCCAACTGGGTGACTGTCGTCCAGTCATTCACTCTCAGCATAACCTACCTCACAGGGTTGTTGTTGTGAGGATAAAGCAGAGTTAAGTAAACTCCCTTTGGCTCTTCACAAGAGGAAAAAAGTGGGATGTGCATGGAATATAAGAAGTATATTTATAATGAAGACCTTTTCTTTCCATTTTAACAGGTACACATGAAGATGGCACACGAGGTCTGCTTGGTGGCCTTTATTCTTTTATTTATTAGATTTATATCCCACTTTTCTCTTCAAATCAACTCAAGCAGCTTAAATGATTCTTCTCCAGCTCTCAATCTTACCTCCCACAACAACAACCCTGTGAGGTAGGTTGGGCTGAGAGTCTGTGACTGGCCCCAAGTCACCCCGTTGGCTCCATGGCCGAGCGGGGACCAGAACCCAGGTCATCTGAGTCCCGGTCCCACGCTCTTAACGACGACATATCAACTGATGCATTTACATCCTGCATTTCTTCCTGCAAGGAACCCAAAGCAGCTTCCAAAATGATCTCTCTTCTGCAATGCATCCACTACAGCGCCACCGCTACCGACGGCCAGCCCTTGCCCTGCATTCCAACTGGCCTCGCACGGCCACCAAGCACAGCCTGGCCAAGCCCTCTGTGAACTTGCACTGACCAAGCAGCTGCTGCAGATGCCAGCCGGTCCTTCCGTGCTTCCGCTGGCGGGTGACCAGCGGGATGTTCTCTCCAGACCTCGGGGGACAGACCGTTGGGCGCACAAGCTGCTCAGGCCCTCCGCTTGTCGTGCAATGTATCACGGCACGCACTGCCGCGTCCCAGACCAGGAAGCGGCCAGTGGGCGGCAGGGAAACCTCCAGAGGGAAGCCTACCAAGTGTGGACGGAGGGCTTTGCACACCCAGCCATGCAGATGGCCTGCACTGCCACCTGTACAGGAAACCAGCTAAGGTGGCGGTGGGCACTCCCTGTTCCACTGCCCCCGTGCTCCCAGACTGAAACTGCAGCTGCTGCCAAGGCAGGGGAAGGAAAGACGGGATGTTTCCTCTTCAAGGCAAGGCGCATGGGGCACAGACACCTTGCTCTGAGGCAGGATTGTGCTGCCTGGCATCCAAAAAAGCCGCGTATTCACACACACCCTAATTTTAAGAAAACACTGCTTTTTTAGTTGCAGCTGCCATGCTGCCGAATTTCGGCAGTGCGTTCATGGGGAGTGGACCCTGGTGGGATCTGGCGAGCAATGCACCCCCCCAAACCCACAGAAAGGCCGTTGCTGAACTAAACCACAATGCACAGCAGGTCCGTCTGTGAAACGAGGCAGGGTTACGCAAGCGCATGAAAGCTTTTGAATCCCCAGTTTAAAATCAGGGAATATGACTGAGCCTGAGTGACGTCGTTAGCAAAGACACACGGGGACCGTTTTGAATCCCCAGCAAATGCGGTGCTTTTAAAGAGCACATGACACATGGAAGAGCACATGCGCAGGCCTCACCGAAGCAAACGGGAAGCTCACACGGGTGCGCGTGCTTCTTCAGCGCAGCTTTTGCACCAGACGTTCCCATTGGCGCGTGCCCCTAAAGGATTAGCATCCGTTAAGAGAATCAGAAGGTCCGACCCGTCTCTTCCACTGCTCAGTTCACGTTGGCTCGGCCATTATTCTAAAAGGGGGTGCCCAAGCCGCACCACGTTCTCTGCCACTTACCGTGCAGGGAGGACCGTGCCAGGGCCGTGATCTCTTGGATGGTGAGTGCTCGCCGGGACTTGGGTAACATTTCGACAGTGTCTTCAACATTTACCTTCGAGAGGAAAGGGAAACAACATCAGAGGTTCAGCCAGAAGCCCCATCTTGCAGTAAAGGGCGTGTATTCGGTCAGTAGGTCATGGAATCTGCATGCAAACTTTGGCCTGGATCAAGATCTAGTTTTTATCTAAATGCTTTTCCACAGAACTGTTTTTCAGCCCATCTCAACAGTATCCTCCATAGCTAACACTGGGCCTTGGGTGTAGGAAGACTCTTGAAATTCAAACTGCCCAATCAGACACTACGTAGGGCCACCAAAATGGTTTGCTGGGCATGTGGGCAGAGTGCGAAATGGTCCAGGGGTGGAACGTGGTGAGTACTGGTGGGTCCTGGGTGCAGCCCAGTGGGGTATCTTCCTCTTCGCCTGAAGTTTATGGCTTCCCCTAAAATACCACTCCAGCCAGTTTCCTTTCTGGCAAGAGCCTGAAAGCCAAGCCTGGCCAAGCAAGTTTTGTGCTAATCTGTTGGCAACCACACTGGTGCACTACCACAAGGCTAATCCACCAATTAAGACCAATGGAGCGGTCCCTTGCCTTCTCGCTGACCAACCAATGGATTAAATTTAAATACATTTTCATATGACCAAACTTCAGTCCAGGTGCCAGTTTGAAAGCAGCATGAGTTTGGCATGCAGCATGAAAGAAAGCAGCATGAAAGAAGTTGCCACTTGGCCCTGAAGCTCCCTGGGGGGCTTTGGGCCAGTTACTAACTCTCAGTCTGAGCTTCCTCACAGGGCTGTTGTGAGGATAAAATGGAGAGGAGGGGGTTATGTAAGCCACCCTGGGTTCCTGGCGTGATGAAAAAAGCATGGGTAAGAAAGAAGGAGGACGCCGTGTTTGACCCTGGAGGTTGCACTGGCTTGCCCAATCACCACGGATGGCCTCATCCCGCATGCATGCGTCTCATCCTCTTTTAAAACCTTCTGCATCAGTAGCCGTCACCACATCTTGATTTATGGGCGCTGTGAAGTTGTACTTCCCTTGTCTGTCCGGCTAGATGGGATGACCCTCTGGGTTCTAGCACTGATGTAATTAAACTTGTGGCCTTTTTCAAAACAGACAGACAAACTCGGCCATGAATCATGTGCATAATGCTGTGTCCTTCCTGTTTCCTTGAGAGGGAGGTATTCCTGGGGCAGCATGACAGGGTCCTCTTGATGGCGATCAGTCACCCCTTTGACGGGAACTGTCAATGCTCTATTGTCTGGGTCTTTTCAGCCTTGAGAGGAGGAGACTCAAGGGGATGTGTTAGCGACATACAGGTACGTGACGGGGTGCCACACAGAGGTGGGGCATGACCGATTTTCCCCTGCAGTGGAGGGCAGGATGCGTTCCAATGAAGTACAGCTTAGGGAACCAAGATTTAGGGTGGACGCCAGGAAGTGCTTCCTGATGGTTAGGACCCCAAGGGCATGGAATGGGCTTCCATGGGAGGCGGTGGAAGCCCCATCAGTGAGGATGTTTAAGGATAGGCTGGACATGCACATGGTAGGCATGTCATGAGTAGAGCTGGGGTCAGACTAGATGGCCCAGGAGACCCTTCTGACTCACTCTGCTTTTCTGTTTCTGTTTCTTTTTAAACTGGTCATTTTTGACAGAGCTACCCAGGTTCTTCTGATGGGGACATATACCCATGCATGGTCAATAAAACCTGACTAAACTTCCCCTAAATAAATAAATAAATAAATAAGCACGCAAACGAAGCTTTGACAGCTCCATGCTTTGATGGAGTGGATAGTTTTCCACTTTCTCAAAAACCTAAAATTTTGTGAAAGGGTAAAAAACATGCAGGACACAGAAATGAGTTGGGTCAAGCAAAAAGAAAGAAAAAAGAACCTTGCCAAGAAAGGGGTGATCTACTGGAATCCTCTTTTATGAGCAAAGATCGCTTGCAGCCTTGCTTTCCCTTGACAGCTTGTCTTTTGACAAGCTTGCAGAAGATAATCCAAGCGGGGGCAGACCCTCCAGTCGTCCAAGAACCATTACGGTTGTTTGGTTAAGTCCTGGATCAGTGATCAGCCTGCAGTCCATCAGCAATGAATGCCGTGTGCTTACTGTATGTCCAGTACACATGCAGAAGTGGAGAATGCGTGCACCCAGAGAGCAAGATTGTGGGGGTTTTACACCTGCCTCACTCCACACGTGCCCAAGCGGCACTCTTGGTTATGTTGCACGTGGACTGATGCGCCCAGGTGCCCATTCCCTGACTGAGCACAGCACGCGCTGCCCCGGCAATGTGCAAAGCTTCCATCAGTTCCCTTGCTCCAAATTTCCACCGATGAGGATCCAGCACATTTAGCTATCGCTAGCTGGCGAAGACTAAGGTTGATCTCCGTAACACTGAAGTCCTTTCGACTTTCACTGTGGCTTTCTAAGAGGCGTACGGTTCCCTTTTTCACAGATAATGTGCGAGGCTGGATTGGCAACACGCTGGCTGCAGCAGGAAATATTCATTGGCAAATGTAGCAAAAGCCAAATGGCTGAGAAGCAAGATATGGTAGGGAAGGGTAGGGAGGGTAGGAAAGTCAGCTGGCCAAAGAGTTCCCTTAGGAATATAAACGGGAAACTCCTCATGCTGGCTCAAACCAAAACCATTTAGCCCACCAACAGTATTCAGCTAGATTCCTTTATGTTATGTTAGTCACGAAGTCGTGTCCAACCCATTGTGACCCCATGGACAACATTCCTCCAGGCCTTCCTGTCCTCCATCATCCCCTGGAGTCCACCTAAACTCACACCAACTGCTTCAGTGACTCCATCTAGCCACCTCATTCTCTGCCGTCCCCGTCTTCTTTTGCCCTCAGTTGTTCCCAGCATTAGGCTCTTCTCCAGGGAGTCCTTCCTTCTCATTAGGTGGCCAAAGTATTTGAGTTTCATCTTCAGGATCTGGCCTTCTAAAGAGCAGTCGGGGTTGCTCTCCTCCAGGACTGACCGGTGTGATCTCCTTGCAGTCCAAGGGACTCGCAGGAGTCTTCTTCAGCACCACAAATTCTCCCTATTGTTTGCCTCAGCATCTGGTATTCAGAAACTCAGAGGTATACTGCATCTGAATGTGGAGGTTCCATTTAGATATTATGGCCAACAGCCCTTTTGATGGACTTTCCCTCCCTGACATTGTTGCTTCCTTCCCTTTTAGAATCATCTACGTTAGCGAGCAGCAGCGCCTCATGCAGTGGGGAAGGGGCTCCAGAACTCAGAGGGAGATCCTGTGCATTTTAGACAGGAAAAGCCCTACAATTCACAGCAGGCCCCCGGGAAAAGCCTGCCCTCTTAATTGTGCTTTCAGAAATCACCGGATCATGGCAGGATTGCATTTTTTATTTGGTTTGTTTTCCACACAGGCTATAGGGTTGTCCTCTCCAGCACTCCGCTGGCTCGAAAAGCCTGGCAGCAGCAGCAGAGCCGGCTCTGCCCCCTTCTCTCAATGATATGGATTTCAGCGCCGATGTCAGAGCTGGCAGACAATTCATGGGGAAAAAAGAGAGATGGCATAGAAATACAGCGCCAACTGACTCTGCTCAGTTAAATTGTGTGTGTCAATAAATCTTTCCTGCAGCATCAAAACCAGATTAGATGCTTACGTGTGAGAGACACAAAGGCAGAGAAGAGAGAGAGAGAGAGAGAGCGAGAGCGAGAGAGAGAGAGAGCGAGCGCAAGAGCGTGTGAGACAGAGCGAGCTCGCAAAAAGATCCCAATGGGTGAAAAACCCAAAACAGCTCTGTGACAATTGTGGGCACTCGGTGTTCACAGAACCCTGAATTGCTCTTTGGGGAAAAACTGCAAATCTAAATTTCTATCCTAGAAAAGGCTTTGTACAGCTGGCTGGGGAGCTGACACACCTCTTGCCCGCCCCTTCCTTCAACTTTTGTTTTGGGGTTTGGTTTGCAACTTTAGCAAAAGAGAAGCCAGCAGACATAGCAGGAGTAACAGCGGCAGAACATTTGCATTAAACGTTTGTGGGCTGCTGGCATGCTCTGAATAGTTGGCTCGCAGCTGAAGGTGGGTTCCCACTGCCACCTCAGCGCCGCTCTGCCGTTCCAAAGGGTTGTTTGGTCCGATGTGCCAAGAGACGAGATGCGCAGTGTTTGTAGCAGGCAACTGCTGGTCCCTGGGAAAGAGAGGCAGCTGGGGAGAAGGGACAAGCTGATGTCATGATTTTATTGGAGGCCGCAAAGGGAGAAATAAAACTGCAGAATGTGGCAGAACACTCAGATAGGATGGGAGAGAAAATAGAAAGCGTAATAATAGTTAAGACGTTAGAAATTAAAGATGCAATCTATGCAAGGTTAAAGACCTGTGACCCCTGCATGAACTTGCACAAAGGTGTCCCCTAAATTATCTTAACACACAACTACTACCACCCTGGCAACCTTCTGGCACCGGTCCTTATGTTTGTCTACAGTGGTGTAAGAAAACAACAAGAGTGAAACTAAGGAAAACAGTTCTAACATGGAACACAATCGAAATCGTCCTTAGCTGGGAAAAGACAATTGTGGAGTCAGTGAAGGGGCCAGCCCAAACCAGACAAGAGAAACGTCTTTGTAAGAAAAATCTGAAAAAAATGGGGACAACAGCACAGCAGAGGAATACAGAGAGAGACGCCGTGAACTCACAACATCTCACCAGAGCAGCTGCAGAGGGTTGAAAACGCTGGAGCCATTATTGTATTAAAATATGTCTTTGAGTTCATTTGCTGGACTGTAAGGTGGCCAAGAGACCGAACCTGCCCAGGATAATCTGTGAAGATAGCGACGTGTTTTATGCATAGTAAGACAGTCCTTGCTGATGGCGATGTGCTTTGGGTTTAATGGCTCCCGTTTCATTCTCCTCAGCAAAGCAAATGGTTACGTTGTGGGGAAATGGTTGCGGGGGCAAGGGGAGCAAAACTTACTCCCTGCTCTTCCCAGAATTGTTAGGGGCTCTGCGAGACTAAGCTTAACCCTCTGCCCCTCTCTCCACACAGCCCATTATGATGATGGCAATTAATGCTTCCTATTCCGTGGTACTTCTTAATAGATCTCACCCCATTAATCCCCTCTTGCAAGAACCGATGCGTTCCTTGAAGTGAACGGACCGTTTCGGCTAGCCTCTCCCCAGCCAAGACCTTTCCACATGTGTTGGACTACAACTCCCATAATCCCACTGCCCGCATAAATTTTGAAAAAAGATGTTTCAAGAGAAGGCCAATTGAAAAGAATGCTTCTCCCAGAAGTCAACTTCTCTCTCAAGGAAAATTGTTGCAATCTGCTTAGAGAGTCTTCAGACTAGCCATAGCGGAATATAAGCTAAATAAATAAATACGTTTCTAAATGTACGCCAGTAATGTATGCAATAGTAACTTGCCAAGAGAGTGGGGAAGCGTTGCCATGTATTCATTATTCTATACCATTTACTAGCCAGAGATCTCTGGGTTGTGTGCAAGAGTTAAGAAAATACAATCTGAAATATAAATAACCATACAAATATAATAAAATTTCACTAAAATTTTTCAACCAGATTTTTTCAGATTTAGACAACTAAGACAAGTTTCTACTTCTAATTCCAACATGCTGCCGAAAAGCACTAACACAACCTCACACCCTCATGTGCTATTTGGGGCTGGTAAATGTCTCAGCAAAGAGGGTGGTCTTAACCTGGATACAAAAAGATAGTAAAACTGGAGCAAACACTCCAGAATTTAGGGGCCGCCACAAAGAAGGCTCTTCTTTTTGCCACCAGTTGGACATCCCACGGAGATGGCTTCTGGAAGACGGTCTCAGTTGTTGAATGTAATGCCTGGGTAGCTTGCCGTTTTTACGGTGTGTAGGGAGCGGGGGTTAAAACCCACCACTCTGCATGTCACAATCCCAATTCAGATACCCTTCCCGTGGTTGGGGGGCAGGTGCCAGGTGCCATGCATGTTACTTCAGTCCCGAAGCACACAGGTAACATTCCTCCCCGCTGCCCCGCTGCCATTCCTTGCCTCACAGCTGGTTCTACTCTCCTTCAATAATGGGGCAAAACCAAACCAAACTTGTTTGCCGCCCCTTATAACCGAAGAAGAAAGAAAAGAAATACTCAGTGCGCAGTTTTGTGCTTTATTTTAAACTCATTTCAGTTGCAACACTAGCACGACTAAAGGAAAAAGGCAGAATTTGCTTCTGCTGCTTTCAAGCTAAACCCTGTGGAAAACAATTCTTAAAATGTCTTAAAAGTTATAAATGCTGAAAACACACATTCGTAACCATCTATCCACAGGGCCAGGTGCCCTCTGATTCTAGCACGTTGCAAACGAAGGAGCCGGGATGCTGAAGGCGGCCGCATCAGCCCCGGAGCGCGGGAGGGTGCGAGGCCCGGCCTTGTGGGCGCTGCTCGCCCGCCCCTCGCTGCAAGGCCCGGCGGCGGCTGCCCCTGCACCTGGGGCTCTGGCCCTGGGCGCGGTGCACGCTGCCGCTCCGCAGAGCAGCTTCGGGGACGCCGCAGAGACCACGTGCACGGGCGGCGCGGCACACGCGCGCCTGGATCACCCCTTCCCATGCGCACACGGCGGCTCTGCCGCGGGAGGGCGAGGGCGCCAACGACGCCCGGCGCGCCTGTTCCCGCGCTGCGCTCGCAGCCCCGGCGCGCTCCGCTCGCTCGCTCGCTCGCCGCAGGCCGCCTTCGCGGGGCGGGCGCCGAGCCGCTGCCGAGGGCCCACCGGGGCCTGCCGCGGGTCCTTACCTGCCCCCTGCTAGCCTCCTCCCGCCTGCCCAGCAGCAGCCCCGGGGGCCTCCTTGCAAGCGGGTTCTGGACTTGCCGCTTGCAACAAGGTGCATTTCCATGGCAACCAGTCACCATGGACTGATTTCTCCCAGGATACAGGCCTGGCTTTGTGCTGACGTCAACGCGGCGGCATGGGAGGCACGAGGAGGGGGGAGCCGTGCCGCCCACGGTGGGATCCGGGCTGCGGGAGGGGGCGCGGGCCCACGGGGCCGAGGACTGGCCCCCAACCGGTGCTGCGCGCCGGGCTGCAAGGGGGGCTCGCGCAGCTGGGGCCCCCTCCGTGCCAGGAGAAAAGTTCTGGCAACAGCTGTGCGGGGCCTCGGCCAGCGGCGCCTTCCGCGCGGCTCCTACCCCGGAGCCCGGAAGGCCCACTCGCTCTCCCTCTACCCTAACCCGCTCCTCTTTCTCCTGCCTCCGTAGGAGGACGTCTTTCAGTTCTCAAATATTCGAACTTGTGCTGTGCGCCACGAGAGCACGCTTTTTGTATAGCGTTTGCATGCTCCCGAACTTGCAGCTGCGTTTGAAAAATGCATTTTGATGCGCACTTCGAAGTATGTGTTTTTCTGCATTTTAAAAATCTGTGCTTTTTTTTTTTTTTTTTAAGCACGTGCATGTCTGAGTCAATGGAGGTGGTGAAGTGCACCATTCTGAAAACATACGGAGAAATGTGTGCTTTTTCTGTTTGGACAAATTGAATAACAGTGAATAAAAATGGGAGCAAACAGAAGCAAGTGATAAAAATTTCAGCATGCTTGAGCATCCTTCATTCTTGCATCCTGTGAAAGGGACAGATCCTTCCCACCAGAGGTCTGAACTGGAGATAGTATGGCATTAGACTTGCAGTCAAGAGATCTGGGTTCTAATTCCCACTGGGCCATGAAACTCTTTGGGTGACTTTGTCACTGACTCTCACCCTAACCTACCTCAAAGGGTTGTTGTTGTGAGGAAATGGAGAGAAGGAGAAGGAAGATTATGAAAGCCACCAGGTTTGATGCAGGAAAATAGCAGGATATAATTATAATAAATAAAATTAAGTGACCCAATGCGCAGGGCTTCTGGAAGGTATGGCACAAGTGATGCTGTGACTCCTTGCAGCAACATTTCAAATGGCACACCTGGAGTATCAGCCAAACCCCCCTCCTTTATGTGCTACACATGTGCTACATCACTTATTTTAAAAATAATTGCAACGAATAAATGCCACAGTTGCTACCTGCTGTTTTTCATTTCTGTCGAATTTCACCTGTTGATAACTCTGAAATTAAAGTATTTTTTATGGTTAGCTGGCCTCTCCCTGCATGCACCATATTTGCAGTGAAGGGCATGACATGAATTTGCAAACAAATACATATTTCTTTTGTGCCTTTTTAAGTCCTAGGGGAACACTCAGGATGACTCACATCAGCGATGAACAGCAAAACCACGCCAAACAATAACCACAAAACTATTAAAATAGAACATGAATGCAGCACTAGAGGAAACATAAAACAACAGAGAACCAAACGCCTCTCCTGCTGCATTTCAGCAGCGATCAGACTGAAACACCAAGGGGCAAATACATATTGGAAGGGGGGGGGCAAGCTTCCAAGGGCAGGGAGTTCCACTGATATATTTCACTCAAACATTGCCCACATTTTTTTTGTGACTTTTTTTGTGACGTTACACAAAACATCGTGGCCACTGGCCCAGGGAGGCTGGAGGTGAGGGGATAGATGGCTTTCCCGGTATATTGACAACCTCCAAATGAGGCTGGTAGAGATGCCGGCAAAATGGGACAGCCAAGGGCAAGCAGAATCCTGCTTTTCGGGTCAGCATTTTGCTACTCGGCTTCAGGTGCCTCTGTGAAACGAGCGGCATTTTCTGGCCAACGAAAAAGATGTCTTGGAAGTCTGCTTTTGGGCAAGGCACTGTTATCTTCCAAACAGGCTGCATAAAGACTTCTAAACACTTGGGAGTCGAGAGGATTCAGACAGCCCAAATAAACAGAATCCCATGCTTGGAGCTTAATCCGTTGCATTTGGTGGAAGAGCTGCCCAGGGAGGCGCATGCCTTGGAATGAAGCCTCCCGTTTTATTCGAGTGCCTTCTGGAAACGCACCCGTCCGCCTGCCTCGGAGCCAGCGCCTCCGGGAAAACGAAACGAAAAGGAGTGGGCACGCCGCTCGCACTCTGGCACGCAGCACCTGTGCGGCTGTTTGTTTGCGTTGCCATAGCGCCCAGCACGGCCGGGGAGGGACCTGGGCTGCCTTGCTCGGGCCTGCGAACAGGCGCCTTCAAATAAACAAGGCACGCCTCTGGCTTGCTGCCCGTGCTCCCGAAGACGCAGGGACAAACCAAGCTGCTGGGCGGGGGATGGGGGGGGCACGCGGGGGGGGGGGGGCTGCTTCGGCTGTGCAGCTGACCTGGCGCTCAGGGAGGCACAAGCTGCACTTGTGGGGAAGGCACGGCGAGGCAGCTCAGCCGCGATCCGCTGGCGGATCTCGCCCACCTCCCCAAAAACGCTGAATGGAGCTGTGCGATCCTGGCGGGCCACCCGGAGCGCAGGATCAGTCAAGATGGAGCGCTGTGTGGATGGAGCAAACCAGCAATACACGTCCCCTCCCGGTGCAAAAGCCCGGCTCATTGGGTGTGTTTTTGTGATGCAGCGCGGCACACAGTGGAAGTGGCAAACGAGGAACCGGCTTGGCAAAAGACCCCCGTCGGGTCAGCACCCAAAGAGCACCGCTGAAACCCCAAGCCGAAGCGCAGAAGGTGCTGGAGCATGTGGAGCGAAGAAGGAAGAAGGCTGAATGGGAAAGGCACTGCTGCGAAGGCGGAACTGCCCTGCAGAACTGCTAAAGGAGCCGCGGGGGTCCCGTGCCTGGATATAATCCCTGCCCTGCTGTGTGAACCCGCGGGCTTTCCTCGCAGACAAGCTGGAGCACCTGCCCTGCTCTTTGCGGAGACTGATCAGCGGAGCCCACCACTCCTGCTCCGTCGAGCGGCACTGAAGCCTTTTACCTCTTGGCTGGGAGGCAGTTTCAGGGTAACTAGCAGCCCTCTTCCATTCCCTATGACACAGAGGAGTGACACATTCCAGCCTTTAAAAAGAAATGTGCAGCTGCGAGGGGTGGAGGAGAGCAAATTTGATGCTAGTGGTCATTGGGAAAAAGAAGAGAACATAAAACTGCAAGGAACATAATGCGAATCTATGGAGCAACATCACTCAGTGCTGGGAACAGGTTCTGTTGGCTGCTGCTCAAAAAAGGGTGTTGTGGAGCTTGAGAAGAGAAGAGAAGAGAAGAGAAGAGAAGAGAAGAGAAGAGAAGAGAAGAGAAGAGAAGAGAAGAGGCTACTGAAGTGATCCGGGAACAAGAGCATCTCCTATATGGGAAAGGTTACAACATTGGGGGCTATGTTAAAAGTCTGCAGAATCATGAATGGGGCAAAATAGGGAGAAGTTTTCGTCCTCTCCCATTATACTGGAACCAACCAGTGTTGCTCCATGATGCTGAACTGCTACTTGGAAAGCTTACTTTGCTGTCTTCAATATATTTTCTCTGTATTTCTAATAGTGGCGCAAAGAGTTCTGAAATGGTCATTTAAGGTTCCTTCGAACATACCTGCTTATGGGGGCATCTGTTAGAAAACACCTGCAGTCATGCCATGAAGCAGAACAGTTGGAGATGCAGAAACATGCAAAGGAACTATTTTCATGTAGCACATTGAGTGCGTCCACATGTCACAACAACCCACCTGGGAATAAGCCACTCTTGGTTGGTTGTTCCCTGAACAACCCCCAGTTTACCCAACAGACTGAGCAGGTTGTCCCTCAGTCCTTCTCCAGTTACCCCAGAGACCCTGCGGCCACACTGACTTCTCTCCTCTCATCCATTCTGACTGTGATCAATTTTTGGCTGGTCACTGCTTTTTTCTCACTTTAACTTTTTTGGGGGAAGATGAGGAAAACTGGCTTGATGGCTGGCTTTTGCAGTCCCCATCTTGACTGCCACACATAGTCTCTTCTAAGTGCCCTTTTCAGATTTTTTTCCCTTCAAAAGCAGTTTTTGCGCCTCTTGCATAACTGCAGAAGCATGCCGTACCTTGAGTATATTTGCATATTGGAAGCCTTGGCAGGTTCTATATAAAGTATGGCAGGTACCAATCCTGGATATTGACCAACAGAGGCTCCCAGTAAGCTTTTTGTCCCTTTGTTTTCTCTTGACAGCTGTCAAATGCGAGCTGCTAAGGGAAACCAAAGTTTCAATCTTTATTTGCAAAAGGGGGGTGATGGAATTCATGCCCCCTCATGGCAAGATTCGCTTGTCTTTTCTTTTTGTCTTTCCTGCAGCACATTCTCCAAAAAGGTAGATCACTTTTCCAGTAGTTCCCAAGACTCTACATTCTTGGGAACATGGAAAAGTACAAGCCATTCCCCTTTAAAAGGACAGCTAGCTGTCAAAATTCCAGTTCTTTTTTTAAAACAAGGACATATGCAAACCCTGCCCAAAAAAAAGCCCTTTTAAAGGGAGCCGGAGCTTTGACAGCTCCTTTTGAAAGAGAGTGGCTTGCACTTTTACATTCTTTTGCTGAAATGCATCGGTTGCTGGGGATTAGGGTAAGAGGGTGCTGATGTACTCGCATCCTACTTGTAGGTTTCCCATGCAATATGGCCCCTTTGGGATGTTGAATCAGCTAGACCTTTGGTCTGATCCAGCACTGACTCCTTTCTGACATTTCCGCTCACTTAATGTCCACTGTGGCACTGTTTCGCGTTGCTGCTCTGTCTTCTGGCTAAGTCTTCAGGATTCCTGATTGGAACTATATTCCCCAGCTTTAAAATTGTTTTCTCTCCAGTACACACTCAGCCTTCTGCTCACTTACTGCTGGACTCAGTGCCCTTATAGGCCTCTTTGCTGTTCCATGATCCTGTGATCTGTGGACTAGGGCACTTGCTTATGCTGAGCTAAGATGGTCTGAGTTTGGCCAGTCACTTGGTTGAAGT